GAATGGAATTTTGTGTTTCATAACTTATTTGTTGTCTCACACTGCACTCCTCTAGACACTTATTTTCACTGGCCCAGCAGACACAGAACACGCACAATCTATAAATTTTTACATGCCTCTCCCTTACCAAAAACATCAATACTTCCTATTAAAATCTATATAGCACAATCTCAACTCGAGATAATATACATGTATCGCCATCCAACTTAAAATATACACCAATCTTGATTCAATTTTTTTTTTAAACTTTCAATGAGTTGTGCAAAATCAAATAATTCGCACTCTAGCTCTAAAAAGTAACCGTATAAAATACATGGTAACATAAAAAGAAGGAAAAAATCGACCATATGACATGCAAATCACACACAGCCCACGTGATTACCTTCCCCTCGTTCCACAATATATGCCAAATAGACTCACGCTTAGCTACAGTGCAACCCTCACCGAAGTATAAATAAGGTACATGCATACAGAGAGAGGTCCCCCTTTAGAAGAATGTACACTATTAGTAGAGAATGGGAGTTCTGCCTGCAGAGAATGGATCTGTGAGAGGAGAGTTCCTGCCGGTAAGAATGTATACTGAGATGATAGTTCCTGCCTAGTAGAGAATGAATAAACTGAGAGGAGAGTTCTGCCACTGTCGAAAATTAACGAGAGGATACAGTACTTCAACTGCATACAGAGAAAGGATAGTTCTGCCTGTAGAGAATGTAGAGAGGAGAGTTCATGACCCTGTATAGAATGTAAATCACTGAAGGAGAATTTCTGCCCAGTAGAAAAGTATCTAGAAGAAAAGAGTTTTTCCTGTAGAGAATGTTACTGAGAAGAGTCCCCAGCTCTCAATAACCTGTCTGTAATAGGTTGAGTGCATGTCTCAGGTTGCTGTTCAAAAAAAAGGAAATCATTTTCAACGATAGGTGGACCGCGATGTATAGGATGATGGAGAGCCTGTAACAAAAGTGTATTGTTGGGGGGGGTGGGAATAAGCAGAGGGGACTGGTTATGCAAAGGAATGGATAGGGTATAATTGTTAAAGAATGTGTGGGATGTGGAGAAAAATTATGCTGCATGTGTGTGTGAATTGGCTAGTAGGGATGGCGAAAAGAGGATTCAATCAATGGCGGCTGTGTTTCATCCTGGTTGGCCAGGCTGGCTACACGACAAAATCTCAGAGTCACACCATAAACAGAGTTAATGTGGTTTGAGCACAAGCCGCTCTCGTGACAGTCCTACCATACACCATGCACAACTGTGCTGTGCTCGCTGCTGCATAAAGCTGCAATATACCCAGAGAGACAACACACAAGCTGGCCGGCATATGTTAACATTCCAGGGACATTGAAAGCAAACCTGAAGTATGTTACAAGTGTGTGACTCAGATTGAGGAAAATTTGCAGCACGCCTCACCATGTCAGATATTAACAGTTTCTTGCTAGCTGGTACTAACCTATACTTCTAACCTGAGGTTCATGCACGAGGGAAAGTCCTTTATCGCTATGCTAATAGGAGATGAGCCACTATGATGATAGGTCTAGTACAATAAGGACTTATAAGGCGTTACGCTCCTTATTCCTCCCCAACTCCCTCTAGACGCTGAGTAGATCTACTATCCATAGGTGGAAGACACAGCCCAGTGAGTGGGCTTCTCTATATAGATGCTGGCTTTGGGGCCTACCTCTCGCCTGAATGTGTAGAGATGAGGTCGCTAAATTCTGATATGCATGCCACTATACATGAACCATAATATCGATGTATGAAACACATATCACGTACTATGCTCGTATTACCAAGCCCATAATAGGACAGAAACGAGATGACTGTTAGCATACTCACCATTACACAGTTGGAGAGTCATCATGTACATAGTACCCGATGTCCAGCGGGTATAACCACATGTATCAGAGGTATAGTCGAAAACTCGACTATTCTGCTACGACAATTGTGATGAAATCGATACAAAGATTATAAGACATTGTTGTCTGTGTGTGTCAATAGTGACGTTGCCAAGTCGGAGCCTCCGACTGGGTGGGGCTAAGACGTGGAGTGGCTCGGGTGATCGTCATGAGGTGCGCAGGAGTTTGTCGGCGACGTGGTCTGCAAACGTTCGTGGTCCTCGGGGACAAGCCCGCTTGTGCCAGTCGTCCAGGCTGCTCACCACTAACCAGCCAGGACTGGACACAGATCACGGTAGTTAGTCACAGTACCAAAAATGTGGTGTTGCAATCCCATCAACCGCCAAACCATTGATCACTTCACGAACAAAACTATCGCTGCATGTGTACATTTCACTGAACTGCAATCTTAAATGGTGGGGCACTATAGTCCACAGTTTTAACTTTTTAAGGGTGGATGTTTGTGAACACTACATACGCAAACTGAGCATCGTTGGCGGCTGAATGACAGTGCTCAAGTAGCTGACTCACTCTTCGCGAGATAGCCAACAGGCGTTGTTGTCGGAAGCTCTTGCATCATATACAGTCCGCTGAGTGAATGCGGCATACGTAGTCGCGCGATGAAGAGGCCAGACTGCAGTCGATGAGTCCTGAGACACAAATAGAGAACGAAAGAGTAGAAACATCTCCGTGATTGCAACGGCTAAATCTTGACCATCTTCAGAAAAACATTCAGTCCAAAGAAGTATAGTATCCCACGAATCTTTCTTGTCCAATATCTTGCTTCCCACGAACGAGCCTTCTCATTGCAGGTAGACACTATATTCTACTAGGGCTTGTGGGGGTTGTGTGTCAACGTGGACCGCTGAGTAGAAGATCTAACCACTTACCATATGTCTAGCCTCACGACACGAGCCAGTCACCACAAGACCACTATACATGTTGAGCTTGTAGCACACATTCTTCGGTCAATCTAGCCGGGAGACTAAGTAGAGCTAGTGACTAGGAGTATCAAGTGGTAAAAACCCATCCTGTAGCTATATGATATGACCAAAACCCTCTTGGTCTATGATAGTGCCTCATTCTCCACGTTCAATACATACGTGGAAGGATGGTTTCCAGAAGTTAAAGATAAATGAGGAATCCCTCCCAGGCTCTAGTTTGTGCCATGCATCCCTGCAAGTGAAGAGTTCTGGGAAGGATAACAATGTCGTGGATGTGTTCACTTTCCACTTGTAGATCCACCGACCTTGTAAAATGGCTTTTTACAAACTCTGCTTGCTGGAGCAGAGAGAACAAAGAGACCAGGCTGGGTAATGGATCATCACAATTACACAAAACTCGTGAAAAGGAAATTAGTGCGGTTCTGAGTCAGCACAATCGAAGAGAAATAATGGAATCTTACTTACGGCCCCCGCTTTTGATGTCGTATCTAATACGGCGAACACCAATTGCCCTCGGTCGCACGACAACTATTGAGAGTGAAACTGCCACTCAGTGGTGGGGGCCAACCCATCACAGAGATAAGGCTACCCACTAACGGAGAGCGAGTAAGGGATGGGGACACAAACAGGAGAGAGCAAAACCCCGCCTACTCCTGCACGCCCACCCCCCCCAAACCCCGCCACCCCCGACCCCTGCCCTTTTCTTAACCCCAACCTCGCCCTGCGTCGCCTACTGATCCAATCCCCACCCAGTCTGCTCACGACCTATCCCTGCCACCAGCCACATGGGACCAGCAGTCGGCCAACTTCCTCTCCCCGAGATCGCAGACGCTCCTACCCCTTCCCCCCCCCACCAACGTGCCGACGCACACTTCTCTCATCTTTTTCTTCCTTCTGGACAATGCCCGCCCCTCGGCACTCCCTTGTTGACTGTAGAATTAAGGCGCACCAAAGGCGTCAACCCCTATGAACAGCCGAACCGCGACGTCCAAACACCACATTGCGTGCACAAGTGCACCACACGGGGCAACAGCCCGGCCTACCCCCCCAGGCCGAACCCCCCTCTCGTCAGCCCAACGCCAAACGCCCCAGCCAGACGCACGCTAAAGCCCAAGAGCGTAACACAGTGCCCATGCGGCCCAACTGCATCCCTGAGTAGCGAAAGGCGACCGCCCCACAGAAGGCCCTGAGAAGTGCACCACCATCCCAGAGACCCCCCCACAGACAACGCAAAAACGATCTACCAGCACGCCCCCCAACCCTACGGGCCGCGAGTGTCCCAAACCGCAGCGCAAGCGCCAAAAAAACACACGCAAGAAAGCACGCCGGAGACAGCCCTAGCCAAAATCGACCACCCCGGCATCGGCCCAAGAGACTGAACAGGGACGGGGCTCCAACCCAGCGGGCCCCCATACGCATACGGGCGGGGCCCCACGCCATCGCAACAGCCGAAACAGTCGCCAAGCAGCCAAAACAAAAGTGCAACGGGAAGACCCGGAGCGCCCCACAAGGGCGGCCGAACGATCGCCTCACCACAACACTACCAGGCGCGACCCTACCCAAGCAGAGCCAAACACAACACTACCCCTCCGGGGCAAAGCGCGCGACGTTCTTACCCCAGGACCACCAGATAAAACGATGCACAGTATGCGACACACGCCGAGCGCCCGGACAGCAGAGGGCCCACTGAGAAAGCCATCAAAGGCCGAGCCAGCCAGCACATACGGGAGGATCAGCCCAAGGGCCCCGGACCCGCGGGCAGGGTTGACAGGCCGCGGCCCACAAAAAGCGACCAACATGCCCGATCCTGCTTCACCGAGGTGGGGCAAACTCGCACCGACCGAGCGCAATTAACAGATGCGACCGGACTTACACAGGACCGAATCAAGCCGCCTTTCACCCTCACCCGACCCCCGCCCTCCCCCCCCTTCGCCAACTCCACACCAAACTGCCCACCCCACCGCACACTACACACTCACCAAGTTCCCACCTTCCTACACCTTAACTAGGTTACGCTCCCGCCCACCCACAAAAGCAGCCACCACCCCCTTGTTGTAACCACACTGTCTGATTTTAACGATTATGTGCTTATTTATAACTTTTTAACTGCGTTTAGCTGTATTTAGGGTCGAGCACTGAAGTACTTCAGACCCGATTTAACTCCCACTGTTCAGTGGGACGTTGTGAGAAGAGAGACACGTATATACCGCTGTGGTGCGGGAGCCAGTACGACCTGCGAGTGATAGACAGCGCACAAGCAGGTGAGGGACAGAGTAGGAAAAGAGAGATGAGAAAAGTCTCGTTTGTGGGGAGCAGGTGCTGGTTCCACAGACATCAGGAGTCGTGGCCGTGTTCGTGAGAGTATTGCAGGCTGTGTGTGGAGGTGTGTCCACTGTCTGCGCTACTATCTGTGCACTCCGTGCTACATGAAGGACAGACACAGTGTGTGGCAACCATTTCATGAGATAGACTCTCCAGAGAACCCCAGACAGAGGTGAGACACAGAGAGACCCGTGTGTTGGTGGGGACAGCGAACGCAGTGTATTTGTGACAGGACGAGAGTGCGGTGTCGGTACCAGTCGGGCGTGGTGTGGGGCCAGGGTGTTTGTGGGAGCGAGTGGTGCGTGCGAGACTGGAGAGTGAGTGATCAAGATGGAGGTGCGGGGAGAGAGGGGACTGTGGTGGAGGTGTGTGGATGGCAGAGGAGAGCTCAGTGAGTGGAACGAGTGTAGAGTGGTGGAGTGGACAGCTGTAATGTTGTGTGTATGACACAGAGAAGTGTGGCAGTGTGGAGTGGAGAGAATCAGGTCTGAAGAGAAGTACCGACTCGGGCACAAGGGCAAGGTGGGGAGACGAGATGTGTGGAGAATGCAGTGAATGTGGTGATGTGTGGACATTAGGTGGATCTACAGTGTACAGTGGCAGCTGAAGGAGGACACTGCTATCTGGACCACCTACCACTGCTAGGTATGGGTAGTTCTCTTAGGGTGTTTTATTCAGACAACTTTCCATTCAGGATCTAAGTACAAACCTTCAACTCCCTTCATCTGCGCTGGCGACAGAGTTCTTCTGGAGGCCGATCTCCTAAACTCCTCTCAAGAGGAAATCGGAGTCAGCGATATTACCGTTTATGAAGTATGAACTGTATGTGCGTCATTTTACATGCGTCAAATGGGTCGTTGGATGCAGATGTTGGGACAGGTTGGTTTGATACACAGAGTAAACGTAGATGAGGATAAGACCAAGCTCTTTTTCCGAGGCCATGGTGTTGGAATAATCGTAGCTGCAAAAGCTCTGAAAAGGGTCTGTTTCACTATTAAATTTTGGTAACCCTCGGCGCGCATGCGCAGCGAGGGTTACAGTACTTGTTCTGTCTGTACTGTCTGTCCGTCCGTCCACGTTTTCTGCCACCACGCGCGACAAACAGGCAAAATAGCGACACCAACTGGTTGAGCGCTACACCCGCTTCATTAGAAAATTTTTTTAAAGTGCCGCGTTCAGAAGTTATGGCACGAAAACCAAGTGAACAAGCCAATATGCAAATTAGCACAGGCTTACCTCGACCGGGTCCGCTTGCTCTGTGTACCTTGGAGGCACAAGAAGTCACAACGAAGGGCGTGTATTTACTCCCGCATGCTATCTACTACTGTGGCTAGCCCGTGTCAGACTACGCCCATCAATTAGCGGTACCGCGCATGCGCAGTTCGCCGAGGGTTTGCCACTTTAGTGCTTTTCATTTTTCTGTATATAGTAGTAATGTGTGTAGGCTCATACAAGTAGAAGGAACTGGTACCTAAGGAAATGGCCCAGTGTGATTTATGATTTCACTGTATGTGTGTGCAGGTGGAGGGGCCAGATATTCTTCCTGATGATGTGGTGCGTGTGATTGATGACATGGCAGAGGTCCACAGACTACAGAAGGATGGCCGTGGATGGCATGATGATATGGTTTTGGTTAGTTTTGTACCTTTCAAGTCCCTAGCTATTAGCTCGATTGTTCTATGCACGCAGGGCAGCTCTTCTTTTGAAAAAAGAGTTTTTCTACATGTAGTTGACTTGTTCCCTTTGCCTTTGCCTTATTACCTCACCTTGTTGTTGACACATGCATGCAGTCTCTAGGTCAGTTGGGGCGTGTGGAGAGATTTCTGAATGACGGAACAGCAGTCGTGGTGGTGAATGGAAAGAGATGGGCTTTTAATCCTCTCTGTGTCACATCTGCTCCTGGAGAACAGCCTGAGGACGAAGGGAGTGAGAGAGAATAATTATGCACATGTATACATTTGAATTTGTAGCCCAGTAATGTGGTTAGCTGGAGATCACAAGAATATTGGTAAACGGTTAGGGCTGTAGGAAGTAGGTATGCTGGTTTTTCAAATATTTACCTAATCTACTTCCCCCAAGCTAACATTCATCCTAACAGAACACTGAGAGCCCACTTTAACTGTATTAGCTATAAACTTTCCAAAATGTTCCAGCTGAAGTGGAGCCAGAAGTTGGTATCGAGATGTTGATGGTATCGGTTCTGAAGGAGCCCACTCAGGACCTCTTGTTCAAGCTAGTGGCCGTCGGAAACTCTCAAGTACTGGACGACGTCCTCAAGAAATCTCCAGACAAGGTGAAACACGTACTATATAGTGACGTCTCGTAATGATCCCGAGTGTTCTGTAGGTGAATCAGATGTACGAAGGAAGGACTCTGCTTCACGTGGCAGCAGCTGAAGGAAGAATACCTACCACCAGAGTGCTGCTGGAGTACAAGGCAGACCTGAATTCCAGAGTGAGATGCATTTCCCCCACTAGTTTTGGGGGGTTAGGACACAAGCACATGTTAGACTGAATACTAGTCCACCATAGGTGCTACACGAGGCGGCCTATGAGTGATATATACCAATGGTGTGGTAGTGCTAGTATATCGTAACACACAAGGCCTGATTAGTTACCCAGCCTAGAGATGCTTCGTACATTGGTTGTATGTGGATATATATTTTCGTAGTTGAGTAGGACTGTGATATACGTGTATACGCCTTGTGTTGTGATTTTCAGGATAGGGCTGGGGAGACACCTCTGCACGCTGCAACCCACTAGTGAGTTCCTGGTTACAGCAACATAATGTAATGCCAGAGCCCATCTCTTGTACAGCAATCGCTACCAGGTGGCTAAACTGCTGCTGGAGGAAGGGAGTGATGTGAATGCCAGGAGCAGTGTACAGAACACACCGGTCCATGTAGCCACTGCCTGGGGTCATTCCAGGCTCCTTGCTCTTTACCTCAGCCATCCCAAGTGCCTAGTTGATCCACAGGTATATACAACGTATATTATACGTCAGGAGTGTATGTACTGGCTGGCCAGCTGGTTGATGCTATTTCCCCCCACTTACAGAATGTTCTTGGCAGTACCCCTCTCTGCATATCTTCCCAGTGCTACCGAGTGAACATAACCAGACAGCTGTTGGAAGCTGGAGCTGACCCTACATTGATCTGTATGAAGGATGTCAACGCTTTTCTGTTTGCTGCCTGCAAGGAATACTTTTCGTATGTACATGTATATAATATACCGAATTGTATATTAACCCTCGGTGTGCATGGGAGGGAGCGTTTATAGTACTACTCATATATACCTAACATGTTGTCTGCATTGTACTATATAATACACATATGCAGTGGTGTGGAGGTGTATTTGCAGTATCACCAAGGACTCATGAACCACGCTAAAGTCGATGATGGGTACACTTCACTCCACGTGGCAGCCAGTATGGACTGCTGCGATCATCTCTGCTACCTTGCTGCCACAGTAAACCAGAATACTATGTATACCTTTTTTGATTGAACTTATCTGCCACACAGAGCACCTGTGATTTGGAGAAGAAATCATACCAAGGTTTCACTGCACTGCATTCGGCCAGTATTGAGGGGAATATTAGGAGTATTGAGTGTCTGGTGGGCTATGGAGCTGATGCAGGGGCAGCAGACACAGATGGGGTTACTTCACTGCATCTGTTGCTGGCTAAGAGAAATTTGAAGCCTCTGTCAGAGTGGACACCGTACTTTAATAAGGTTAGGATGAAGGTGTATAGCTGATACGTCATATAGTGTGCTTTACTTATGCAGTTCCATGAGTATGTGCTGGGAGCTGACAATCGTATTCAGGATGTCCCTGTCTTCATCACTGTGGCCTGTTTCCTGGTCAGTGAAGGAGCCAGTCTGGAGACTACATCGGTAGAGGGAATCACTCCTCTTCATGTGTGTCCACCTGAATATGAATCACTGCTTCAGCTCTTTGCCAGACCTGAAAGGTACATGTTTTACTGCTTTCAAAATACACATTTACTTCGTCGTCATGTTTTAGGAGAGGTAATTATAGAGGGAGCCTACCCAGACATCCTCCTCCTGTTAGCACCAGACACATCCAGACACAGGTTTACCTAGTGCTAATGCTATGATCTGTATGTATAATGTTGACTGTGCAGGCAATGTCTGATTCAAGAAGTAAAGTAGCCAAGGCCTCTGTAGAGAAGACCACACCCACCACTGGGAGTGAGGCCACACCCCCTGAGGTCTCGGTGTCTGGAGGAGACTCTAACAAGAGGGAGGAGAGTGAGGTGGACTCTGTGACTGGACCAAGTTGCTTTCTCTGTGAGGGGCCATGTGATATCTCCTTCCAGCCATGTGGACACACTGCCATGTGTGCTGAGTGTGTCCAGAGTGTCAGTGTCAAAAGTTGCCCCATTTGTAAGGTATAGGGAGCTTTGTAACTATACTACTATGTTGCCTTTTTCCTTTCTACAGACCAGCATTGAAAACACAATCAAGATAAAGCAATGACAATCAATATGTGATCAATTATGTTCATTTGTAAATTGGTAATTTTCATGTTTATGGCGGTCAAACGAGCCCCACCCCTATTTTTGCGTTAGCTGAAGAAGAGAATGATGAGGACAGCCTGCCTAGCTGTTGCCGTTGTTTCAGTACGGGTTGCTCCTAATCTCGAGTTCTCAGAGTATAAAGAATCCTCCTCTTTACAGTTGGTGTTCTTGGCAGCCGTGGAAGGCTATCATACGCCGGTCAGCGAGCTTACGCGGCACCCACATTGCTGGCCGCTGGATGCCGACGACGAAAACGACGAAACAATTGACTGCGGAGGTGAGAGCTAACTGCTGTTAGTATATGCATGGGAAAGCCATTTCTTTCAGACCTCAAAATGGAGTGGGTGGATCGGCCCCACGACCTGGAATTCGTGCATGGAGATGTCATACATCTCGCTGTAAACATCACTTCCACCGATATCGAATTGTGAGTGGCACTATTATAATGCCATGTGTTTTGGCCACATTAACTGAGCTTGCTTTTCAACACACGCACACAGTAACGAGAGTCTAGCTGCACTCTGTGAGAAGGACTGTCCTAGTGACTGCAGTGCAACACTGGAGACCTGCTGTGTCCTGGCTGTTGTCATCAATTGCGTCATTCACTCTGATGAAGTGAGGAGTTAGCGTAAGACTAGAGTGATTTTTTTTATCAATGATAATCACAGGACGTGTGTGTTCCCTGGAAAAGCGACAACTTTCTCATCTCTGAGATTAACTGCGGGCCCTTTTGGCTCTTACAATGCCTCAGTAGTACTGTATGTGGTAGGCATCAACGTCCTGCTCTACTACGCCCAAGTTGGCAACATTTCCATAGTCCTGGCTGACTACATAGATGTACGCCCTACTGGTAAGACCTTCGATCATTCTCTGCAATCTGTTATAAATCTCTGTTGCAACTCATCAACAGACTGTGGTGATGGTGAATGCCAGGGTTTTGAAGACTGCACTAACTGTCCAGGTGAGAGAAGGGTGGGTTGAGGGGAAAGGCCATCATGTACTGCTTTTTTCCAGAGGATTGCTGTGAAACGGAATATGCCCTTGTTGCATTTGCCATCTTCTTTGGCGGCATTTTGTGTATCACGCTGATTCCTGCTGTCTCGATCACAATTTCCATCGCAGTGGTCAGTTTACTTACATGATAGTCCCCTAACACCTGACAATCCACGATTGTCCTGGTGCAGTGTATCTGGCACCGCAATAGGAAACGCTTGAAAGACGAGAGTTGGATCATCAGCTACAACGACATCGCCACCAGTAAGCCATGTACCAACTAACACACTTCTGTAAAGTGTTCTTTTTCCCTCGTTTTCTGTGACTTAGACCCAGGGAAAAGAGGTAAGTGTTGAGAGGCTATATACCACTTGCTCACTAGTAAAGACTCGTGCTCTTCCTTCACAGCCATGTCCAGTCTCCTAAGTCTCAACAAGAGAAAAGGTAGTCCTGCTACTTCTCTCGCTTCTTCATTAGACTTGAACGCACAGCAGGTCTTCACTGAAATTGGAGCATAGTAAGCAAAGCCTGACAGTGGGTGATGAGTTATCATTGTCATGCCTGCTTTTAGCAATGGTAAAACTGTGGCAATCAGAAGAGTTCAAATAACACGCTCCACTATAACTGGGTACAGTGGTATTTCATCCCAAGTAAGGAAACAAGTCATTGAAATAAGGTAAGGACTGACATACGTATAGCATTGCAATGCCTATATCAATGGCTTTTCAGGTATCTGGAGCACAAGAACTTGTGTAAGTTCATAGGAGCTACACTGAGGGATCCTCCACCTAACATAGCCATCATCAGTGAATACTGCTCAAAGGGTAGCCTCAATGACGTCCTCCTGAACGAGGACGTTCCCCTCAGCTGGAACTTTAGGATGTCATTTGCCGAGGACATAGCTCGTGGGATGGCCTTTCTGCACTCCCACGGCATTGCACACGGCAGACTCACCTCGTCCAACTGTGTCATTGATGACAGATGGGTCACTAAAGTAACAGGTATATATACTGATAGCTAAATTCCTACAGTGACGTAACTGGGATTGCGAACAGTGTGTGGCCACATGTGCAAACTCTGGTGCACTAACTTCTTTGTGCTGCTTTTGAATTTCAGTCAGGTGTAACATAACAGTTTATAAAGGCTGCCATGAGCGCAGCACTTGTGGTTTTGAACTAATGAGATTCATCCCCACAAGGCATCGCTCAGGCTACCTGGAGCGCATGCTTGTGGTTCTGAACTAATGAGATTCATCCCCACACATGGGAGGCACAGTAACCATGGAAATCTGAATGTGTAATCTCCTTGTTATGGGTGATCACACACTGTCCCAAGGCAAACTAATGCATCGACAACTAGGACGTTTTTTTTCCAAAATGGCTGCTGTGGGTGCTGTGGGTAGGATTCAAACCCATTGACACTCAGCTTTCTATCATGCACAATGTGATGAGTTACCAGCAGCTCGACGTGTTGACTTCTAGATTATGGCCTGCCTGCTCTGAGGTACAGTGGGGAGGAAGATGGAGAAGAGGCTGGAGAACAGCTACGGAACGGCATTCCAAAGGTGTATCGTGCCCCTGAAGTGCGTCATCTCCCTCTACGGAAACCCTCCAGCTCTCCGCCTGCAGATGTGTACAGGTATATTATACAGCAATTTAATCTACAAACTAGGCAATGAGCTTGGGTTGCTAGCAAAGTGTAATGTCTCCCTGTAGCTTTGCCATCATCCTGTATGAAATAGCAACTGGAATGGATCCACGCTCTGTAAGCTGACACCAAAGCTGTAAACACCCATAGCTACACTATTAAACCTACTCCCACTCTATCAGGAGATTTCATGGCAACTGGACACCAACTTTAAGCCAAAGATCAACCAGGGTCAGTTGAATAGCACAGAGTGTCCTTGCTCCAAAGAATACCTCAATGTAAGTTCGGCATCATCACCGGTTGTTCTCTGGAAGCATGCACTAATGCCATTTCCTCTGCCCCCATGCATGCAGCTGATCAACAAGTGCTGGACCTTCAGTCCCCAGACTAGACCACTATTCCCAAGAGTCAAGAGAGAGCTGAAGCAGATTAACCCTTCAAACACCAGCGCCATTGACAACATGATGCAACTGGTATGAGAGTCACAGCATTGCAAACCCAATACTGGTGTCTGTCTGTCTGTCTGTCTGTCAGATGGAGAAATACTCAAAGCACCTGGAGACGCTTGTGAAAGAGAGAACCGCAGAGCTTGAGGTGGAGAAGGAAAAGGCTACAGATCTCCTCTACAGTGAGTCTAACATAACTGCCGCAATTCCTCAACTGGCGTTGCCTCCATGCAGGAATGATACCTCAGGCAGTAGCAGAAGAGCTAAAGAATGGCAAGATGGTGAATGCAGAAGAGTTCGATGGGGTTACCATTTTCTTCAGCGACATAGTTGGTTTCACAACGCTGGCAGGAGATAGCTCGCCCATGCAGATTGTCGAGCTCCTCAACAACTTGTACACAGAGTTTGACGAAGTCCTCGACCATTTTGATGTGTACAAAGTTGAGACCATTGGAGATGCCTGTGAGTGGTATATAGTGAACGTTGGGACCAGGCATTTTGTCCTTTATACGCATATAGGGAGGTTGTTTTCTCATCGGATATTATGAATGTACTATAATGAGCGAACCTCAAAGTGTGTCCTCTATCAGAGGTTCTATATACTTCATGATTTATACCTCATGTTGAATTGAGACAGTCTCATAGGGGTTTACATACAGATATGGTGGTATCGGGAGTACCAAGACCCAACGGAGACCAACACGCCGGAGAGATTGCAAGGATGGCTCTCAAGCTGGTCGCCTGCTGCGAGACCTTCACCATCCCACACAAGGCCGGGACCCGCCTCCAGATACGGGCCGGGGTACACTCAGGCTCGGTGTGTGCCGGCATCGTGGGGAAGAAGATGCCACGCTACTGTCTCTTTGGAGATACCGTCAACACTGCCAGTCGCATGGAGAGCAACAGCAAGGGTGAGATTGAGCATGTGTTGTAACTCAACCTTCAGTGGAGTTTTTATTCTAACAGCAATGAGTATACAGTGCAGTGACACCACTTACAAGCTCCTGGAAAAATTGGGAGGGTTTATCCTCGAGAGCAGGGGGGAAATCAGCATCAAGGTATAGCTACGTGCCTTAGTGCAACTCTTTATTGCGGCCACTATTTTTAGTGACTTACAGCATAGTCTGCTGAACTGTATGGTTCATGTAACAAGTGGCCTGTGCAATTACGCAATAGCATTATAATAGCCCACTTCAATTATCCGCATTCCTTTGTTTTTTTTATGGCAGGGGAAGGGTACCATGAACACCTGGTGGCTGAAGGGTTACACAGAGCCAGACATTGTAATCCTCCCTCCACCTCGGGAAGACACCCCCACCTCCCCCACCTCCCCCACCACCAAGGAACCCATCCGAGACGCTCCGAGGAAGTTCAGCAGCTTTGGAGAGAAATACACAGATACCCGTGCGTCTACTAGCAGTCTTCCACGAGGGCTAAGTTCCACTACACTCGACGTGTACAAGAGACACCAGAGCCTCCAAACCAGTAGCTTCAGCAACCTCTTGTCGGCTGAAGAGGGTGAAAGACTATGCAAGGAAAAGACTGCGACTTCGAAAAGATCCGTGACGATCCCGCGAGAGATATCTAGTAGCAAGTCTACCACCGAGCTACCTCAGACCACGCAGTCGACTACACTGGCACATCGATTATCTGTGCCACAGACCACAGTCAGTACCTTCGCTTCGGGGGTTCGGAGGGTGACTCAGCCCAACGTGGAGACAGTGGGGCTGGGCTCTAGTTCTAGGGCCAGGGAACCAGGGGATAGGAAAGTCTCTCGAACCAGTGTCACCAGCAGAGAGCACCCATTACAGATGACTGTCGCTCCCTCTTGACTGCAGAAATGAAACCGAACTTTGAATATTGTGTTCCATGTCCAAAAACCAGTGTCACATAGCTATCAGCTGCACATACAGCAAGGGGTGGACACCAGTACTTTTACATAGGACCCATAAACGGAGCCACGAGACTTGCTGGAAATTGCTTTATCATAATAGCAGTCAAACAGTACTATTTAGACACCGGTTTTTCAGAGCTAATAAGAGGATTGGCTCTGGATGCCCGCCCACCCCTAGGCCCCTAGGCCCTGCATGCATGACAAGAGTGCGCCACGCGTGATGAGCATGCGCATAATATTGCCAGCGTGGGGGGGGGGGCGCGGCAGAGACACCCAAAATCTGCCGAGTCAGCTAGTGAAGGTGCGTGCGTGTGGGTGCAGTGTCAGCCTGAGTCTTGCAGCATAGCTGAAATTGATGGTCAGGAGAACGCTGCACGTCGATGTACAAAGAACTCAGTATGACGTGGAGTACAAACCGGTCCCTGTCGGCTATTGCAGCTCCGGAAAATGACAGGTAAAGAGTTTGGTCCAGGGGTGAATCCTGTCTCTGGACACACTCTCCAGGTGCCAGATGGAGAAAAAGAGAGACCACCAGCTCTACATGGCCGTCATGATCTCTGCTGTAAGTTCTGAGTGGATATGGGGACCTATGATCGGTTGTAGCTATGTACACTATTGCATCAGATTATTTGTCCAGCTGTATTGCATCATGTTGTACACAATTCTTGTCCATGAGTAGATATGATTCCCTGCAGGCCTGTCTGATAGTCGTTCTGTGTCTCATCAGCAGACGAAAGAATCATGCTCGGCAGCTCTGCTGGGGATTCCCCAGCATAGCCATGTGAGCTAGTTTTACAATAGGGTCTGTCTGAGCATGGAGTTAAGTATTATGTATGGTCTGGGTGACTCATATTTGTCATATACCACTAGTATTTGAAGTTACTATATAGGTCTTAATAGTTTTCTCCATCAATATCCACGACAAAGTTATATATATAGGAGCAGCTGTGGTGTACGATGACAAGACCTGTTTTGTTGCCTCACTATGAAATAGTTTCCACATTGCTCTCTGCACACAGTCCACTGGATGGGCTGGGAATAGGGGCCAGTGGCTGTCGTCTGCTCTACTGTGTGATCATGGGCTCCTGGGGAGCTGACCTCCTGACAAATCTCCTCAACACAAGTCTCTACTACTCCTCTCCATTCAGCATCACTGACTCCGTCTATTTCTTCAGTTAGTATATTATACTGGAGGCCTAAAGACACTCTAGTATATAACTCCTATGCTATTGCGCAGTGTTCACTCCAACTGTCATCATTCTGAGTCAGTCGCTGGCCTACTTCCCAGTGTTTGCCTGCGTACACACGCCTCTACCAATCCTGGGCCACCTTCTGGGACTCCTCTACACCTCTCTCCTGTACGATAAGTTCCCCCCACTTTCTCCCCACTCACTCAAGTAAGTCACCGGTCGTTACACATTCTGCAGGGTGAGCAGCAATGTGTACTCAGACTGTGCAGCAGCTCGAGGTTGCTCATACATAGGGAACATGTCTCACAGGGAGGTAAGACAAAGTCACAATGGCCATAGGTAGTTAAGAATTGAGTATTTGAGCTCCTTTGGATATAAGTATATACAATCGTACTATACCTCAGTATACCTTCACACTGCAGGTTGGTATATTCCTGGGTTCAAGAGTGTGGACCTACTTCCTCTACCTCTGCATGCTCCTCTACTTCTTCCTCTACACGGTCTTTGACCTGGTCCAGGTCTTGGTGTCGGGAAAGTTGCAACCGAGAAAGGTCCATCCCACTTAGTGTGTCAATGTACTTTAGTGGTAGGTTGCAGTGTAAACCAGTGGGCCATAATGAATTCCACACATGCCTTTGCAATAGTGCACACTGCACGCACTAGAACAACCATGCCCAGTTGCCAGCAAATGGCGTCTACAGGAAGAGCTCCACAATCTAACTACCACAGTGTGTATTATAGCTGTATACATTTGGTAAAACCATCATTGACCAGATGATAGGGGTTTACTAACGACAAAGAAAGAAGCAGAAAACGTGACATTGCGTAATAATTTTCTTGTGTGGTGCAACTGCAGAGCCTTTTCGGCATGTGGCCAATGGAGTGATGAAAACGATAGGCCAGGCATTCACGTGATTTATGCAAACCTTTTCTCCCTCAAAAGTATGTATTTCTTGCTGTGTCCCCTGCAGACTCAGAATGACCGCAGTGTCTGTGAGCTCTATGTAAGCAACCTGCTGAAAAGGTGACCAAATCCTAAAAGCATCAGTACTCTATTCAGTGACTGTATTGGTGTATTGGTGGGTGCAGGAGAGTGAGGACGTGCAGTACATCATACCACCTGCTGAGAGACAATCTCTGGAACTACCTCATTCGAGGACTGGACTATGTTCTACCCAATGCCTACACCTTCTGTGAGCTATAGACCTGTAGGCTGTAGCTACCGTGTAATGTGTATGAATAATTATGCTATTTTCTCTCAGGCCTACGCTATCCACTGCCTCTTTTTGGAGCCTTTTTCATGGGATTCTCCATGATCATTCATGTGAGCATGTACTCCGTCTTTCTCAAAGAACCAACTCCCTTTCAACTATCTTTGTTTCCCTCAGCTGGTCATCTTCTGCAGTGCTCATGAGTACCTACTGGCTGAGAAGCTGCTCCACTGGTTGCAGGAGTTCCAGATCACTGTGGATTTCATTGAAGACATACTCCCTTCCACTAAACCAACCCTCAACCGTCTCTTCCAACAAGTACTCAGCTTTGCCAAGGCTTACGAAAGTTAGTGAACCCATCTCTTTGTGAATTGGAGGTTTGTTCAAGTGCATGCCCCGAATTACAGTGATGTGCTAGGGAACTTAACACACAAAGCAAAAAACGGCTGAACATAGTAGTAATTTAAGCGGCAAGTGCCGGCACAGATAGCTGAATATGTAGTGAGTTATATAGCTTTATATTCCCCTTTGTCTGCAGTTATTTTGCCACTGGGATCAATAGGAGCTTTTGGGTTCTGTGGAATGTTCTCACTCTATATGCTTCACACAACTTAGTGAGTTGTCACAGTCGAGACTCGCACGCCACCCTTTGCCTCTCGTTTTCAATATAGTTTGCTATTGCTGATAACTGTGTTGGTAAAGAGTGATGCAGACATTTTCTTTCTGTGTCCAGTAAACAGATAATGGAGGCGGCCAGAGGAGACACTGGTTTCTTTGTCAGGTCTGAACTGGTGCCCTCTCTTGTCTACAGACTGGTCAGCATATCTCACAGACGTACAGCCAGCACAGTAATTATGTGGCTGTTCTTTTCTTCCCCTTTAGGCTGCTACCATGAGATTCACTGCTTTTCAAGTGGCCTTTCTTGTTTCCAGTAAGTATCACTAAGTACGGTAGTACTTAGTAGGGATTGGCATGGTACCAAGCATCATACATGTATACTAGCTACAAATCACATTTACAGTGCTGGAAAATTTTGAGGGAGAAAGTTTAAGTCATCTATGAAATTTTTTACTGTATTCGCTGCCTTTAAGTTCTATCAGTATCCTTGAAGATCATGCATTCTGCAGCCTGGATGATATATTGTCTGTTGCTGTGGATTCTGCTATCTATTGGACTGCTGTTCTACTACTTGTTCAATGACTTCAGACATTTTGCTGTTCATGTCTGGTCTTGGTTCATGTGAGTCTAACATCTTTACTTTCCCCCCATTGCTTCACAGTGGGAATCACTGATACATTAATACGCTGAGCTGCCAGGTGCTTGTATATAGCTTTTGTGTGTGAAAGTGGACAAAATAGTGCAAATTTGAAGAAAGTAGAATCGGTGGACATTGTGTGCTGGCTTTATCCCCATAGATAGTATAGACCAGAGTGCCTTTGGATATGCAGGTGTGTACATCGACTTGTTTGCCTTGCCTTGCCTTTCTACCTCGTTATATACCAAGTTGTTGTTGAGTCATACATACACACAAACGTGGCAGTTCTGTCAATGTATGCACTTGAGAATTTGGCTACTATATTATCGTATCCAGGGTACCAATGATGTGGGGAGCTGCCATGTACAATCTGCAGCTCTTCCTCTGCAAGTATGTGTTTCTGGAGAGAACGAGAGGAACACTGCCACTTATCAGACTCAGGTGAGTATTTGAATTACAGTCGGCAATTTTTTTTATTAGTCACTTTTGGTAAGCAAGGAGTGAACCAACCTAGTTGTTTAAACAAACTGTTCCCGTGACAGAACAGCCACAGTCACTTTTGGTAACAGTCACTTTGGTAAGCAAGGAGTGAACCAACCTAGTTGTTTAAACAAACTGTTCCCGTGACAGAACAGCCACAGTCACTTTTGGTAACAGTCACTTTTGGTAAACAAGGAGTGAACCAACCTAGTTGTTTAAACAAACTGTTCCCGTGACAGAACAGCCACAGTCACTTTTGGTAACAGTCACTTTTGGTAACAGTCACTTTTGGTAAGCAAGGAGTGAACCAACCTAGTTGTTTAAACAAACTGTTCCCGTGACAGAACAGCCACATTATTAATTTCAGCTTAGCATCAGTGAAACTCCAATGATGGCTTTATAAGTTGTGACATGTGGCATAGGGTGGACTCACTCCTTCCCAATAATGTGGTCCACTGACCAACACCGATGATGTTCTCTGTATACATTAATTATGCAGGTGGCTCTATGACATTTTGGCCTATTTTCTCTTCTTCTTCAATGGCATATTTGGCTTTGTGATGTGTATCCTACGTGGAGTGGGCGTGATCATATTCACGGCTGTGATGTTATTCAGACTAGACTGGGACATCTACATGAGGGGACTGGAGGGATGGGACATGGGTAAGACGCATATATAGCTATTGCTCAGGAAGCAATATCTTCTGCACTGGCCGCACACATTATGAAACATATACATACCCTAAAAAACAACAACATGAACAACTTTTACATGGTATAAGGTCAGAATGGGCAAAAAAAACTCTTCTCTTAGGTCACAGAACGTACATGGCCTACATGTACGTGGAGTGCACGTACAACAACATGATCATGAGACTGTTTGTCCATCTCCTACTGGACTCCCTCCACCAGAGGAGGCGGCACCAACATCACCCTCCCAGTCAGGAAGCTACTCTATCAACCACATGGAGGAGTGGCAGCAGTAAAAGAGAGAGGGGGGATGGTTGGTGCAAACTTGTAGTTAGCTATATACATCTGTGAAGATAGTGCCTGTCAGTTGCACACTGTTTCCATTGCGCATTATGTCCCCTTACATAGCTACTACTATAGTTGCGCATTACATATGTACAGCTACTACTACAGTTGGGACCATTTTGTGGGCCATTGCGTTTGCTGTGAACTTATGTATATATGTATATAGCTAGAGAGGACAAACGATCCACAAAAGTTTCTCTCCATCATTTTTTCTCTCAGCACACGGTATACCGCTTTTCCCACTTCTAATTTTATCCCTTTGCTGCTGACTGGTGATGTACTCTTGTTTTCTCTCTCCATAATAGTAGTCAGAGGAGAAGGAGTGTCTGTGGGGTCTACTGGCAGTGAGCAGAGCTCCCACAGAGCTCGTCTCCACTGGTACTTGGCCTACACCCTCCTCCGTAACCCAACTCTCTGTCGTGACAGAGTCACTCACAACTCACACTCTCTCCATCCCACACCCCACACCAGCTACGGCAGTCTGTACACCATCAACTAGTCCCAGTAGCCAATTATTACTTATCAGGTTGATACAAGTTGACGATCAGTTTATAAAATCATGGTGATATCCATAATGCTGTGAATTTGCTCTTCATGAATCAGGGTGTTCAGTTAAGAAGAATGGACTGTTTGGCGGGGTATAATGTTAGTGAGTTTTGTTGTTTGAATGATCCAGCATAATGCGTGCTGTTACAGTGGAAAACGATGAAGTCTGTGGGGGTATTGAATGATGCAGCCTATATAGGTCAGCCAGCATGGTAAATAGGTGTGGTTAGTGGAATCCAACTCACATTGAATAGGTTAATGAGGCTTTAGTATTTCGGTGGTTGGTTGTAGCAGTGATGTTTTGTTGATCATTTGAACGATCCAGCCCGGGCCAGTTGGTCAGCTGCCTCGTTTCCTGCCACTCCACTATGACCTGGTACATGAGTCTGCCCATGAAAGGAAAGTAGGGCATGAGAGTGTAGTAAACACACCAGACTAGGAATCCGCATATGCATATTTTGCCTTGCGCCAGCCAACAGCTATGGTTGTGCATAAAATCTGCTGGTGTTCCCGTCGTTTTATTCTGTACCTCCCACTAAAGAACCCTCGGCGAACTGCGCATGCGCGGTACCCATAATTGATGGGCTGAGCTATTTGTAGTATGCACAGTAGCTTGTGCTGTCTTCTCTTACGTTAGTAAAATAGTACACACATACATACAGTTAGAGTTGTATATAGTAGGGATAACTCAGTGCTGGAAAGTGGGTTGGGCACCGACAGCATTTGGAAAGGGAACAGTATGAAAGATTGTCTCTCACTAAACTCTGTTGTGTGGCACACTCACCCACTTGACGTCGATCTTCTGACAGGCATTGTCGAGTCGGACGATGTCCTCTTTGTTCTTGACTGGCGCAGACTGCGACGTCATCCAACCGTTCCTCTTCCACTTGCCCAGCCACTCTGTCATGGCTGGGGGACACAGGGAGAAATTTTCAGTGTTGGAACATCATTATGAATGGATTCCGTAACTTCTTTGGAGGCATCGGGGGAATTGTTAATTATACAGTACTGTGTTTGTTATTTGTTGTTATAAGCACCCAGACACAGCATAAAATATTCTTGGTGTGGTAAACACAAAGTTTTGCCCTGCCGAAAACACTACAGCAAGTTTTGCCAGAGTCAGTTTCGTACAGTATATATACCTTTGATGGTGTAGCTGCTGTCAGTTTTGACTTCCACTGCAGAGTGGCCCAGGTCAACGGCAGACTGAACCGCTCTGTAGGCTGCCTGTAGTATGTACACACATTCATGGAGTAAGCAATTGAGCAATGTTACCATCAATGTATTAAAGTTTAATGCCATGGCAGTGAAAGGTAACACACGACAATCTCACAAAACGGCTGCAACTTACGTTGAGCTCTGCTCTCTGGTTGGTCTGTGGTCCACTCAGCTTCTCACTCACATTACTATATTATACAAACAGCCACACACGCAGAGAAGATAAAAGTGGAACCTTCATTACCTCCAGGTCATACTACATAATCCAATCAATATTCTCACACAGCAAACACTCTGTGAGTAAAGTGAATTATGTCCATCCCTACTATACACTACGGTGGACTTTAAGCACGCATACATAAGTATGAACTATGAAGGCAGAGTAACCCATCTTCTTTACATCCTCTTTACTGACTCACTGTGGACTCCCCTCTCCCCAATAGACACCCACACCGGCACTAGCTCCGACTCTTCCGTTGTTGAGGCAGCAGCCGTCGCTGTAGACGGTAGGTCTGGAGTGCGATCTGGACCCCGAGCTACTTGTCCCAGAGTAGGAAGATGGGGAGGTTGAGGTGCTGGGGGGCTGATGGTCATAGGAGACGGTGTCACTCCAGGAGCTATAGCTCGGTTGACTATATGAGACACTAGGAGAGAAAACAATAACACATGATACAAAGCAGTGTGTAATATGGTGCGTAAGAGTAAGTACATCCATGCACATTGTCTGGTGCGCTAGGGAGTACAAGAGGCGATTATAGTTATAATAATGTTATGTAACGATCAAAAAACAATGAGTGACAATAACAAACTGCCCATTTTGTCAAAATTACTTCTTGGACCAAAGCTACGGGACATGTGACACAGCCACACAATCTAGGCAAACACACTACAATAAGTACCTGCTAGTGGACTCTGAACACCATTCCCTATCTCTTCTCTGAGGGTAGCTCCCAGAGTGGTAGGACCTTGACCGGCCATACGTAGACCTGGCATGGGAGGCCTGCGAAGCCCCTACAAACGACTCAGCCTCAGCAGCAGTGGAAAAACCCTTGTAGACTGCCCCAGAGTACTTGTCAACCTGAGAACGACACCCTTCCCTGCAGACAAGCACACAATTTTCCACCAACAGGGGATAACTTTACACTGTGCAGGGAGTTGCTTGGGTCTGAAATAACACAACAGGGCTACCTCTAGTGCTGCGAAAAGCCTTTCGCAAAGGGACGGTAGTAGCAAAGGGAAGTAGTTTCATAAGCTAGACGCTAGACTGAGGTTTCAAGAAACGAGACTAGGTGCGCTCTAAAAAGATCGAGGGACGTTTATTTACCATGTGTTGTAGACTCCGACCTCCCGGCCTACTCTGACGGCGTAGTAGCTCTTCCTCGTTTTCCCCATCCTTGATAGGCCACACTCCACACCTCCTGACTTCAATTTCGTTCTAAAAATGGACCGTTGGAGCAGCGCAAAGCCTTGCTTCGCCGTGTCGTCGTCGCTCAGCACACCAAGGGCAGGGGGGGCGTGTCCTTCTTATTCGTGCGGGAAACTACTGCGCATGCGCAATTTGGGGCTAATGACCCGACCCCCAGGCAATATTACGCAGACGCGGATTTCCCAAATCTTCACTCTGTCGAGTACGTAGCTCTTCTACGCCATATCCAGGCGTTGAGGAGTCATGTAAGTATATCTTTACCCAACACTGCCTGTCTCAAATCTCAATTATCACAGGGCTTGTGCAGCTATCTCGGCAGCGTATTTGTCCTGTTACTCTCATTCTGCTACTTTCGGCAGTAAGTAGCCGCACACGGAGCTCCTACTCTCTCCTTATAGCTGTCAAAACGCTTTCCCCCCATTACTCAGATAGTGATACTAGTGGTACTGTCATTCTCCAATCGCCGTAAAAGCGTCTGCCTGGAGTGCTGCGGGGGTCGTCCTGGATTATACTCGTGAGTCACGGCCGTATAATGTACGAGCTTGTCCATTTGTATACAGTATCCGTTGGCATAACTAAACTGCACAATTATAAAGTTAGCAGGCATGCTCAGTCCAATATTAGCTATGATGATGATTACTTTTCCCCTGCTCTACTAAATCCTCCTTCCTCCCTTGTATAATACACTGGTGACTATTATAGTCCAGTGGACTTGCTCCATCGTGGACCACATCGACTGATCTATGCTGTGATATTTGGAGCCATGTCTGACCAGTTTCTGAACCTAGCACTGCATTTTTCTGGAGGTGCTTTTTGCACCTCTGATAATCCATACCGAAACACCTTTTGTAATGTTGGTAAGAAGCCATTGTCTTACGTGGTATGGCTAAATGACACACTACTTCAGTGGTCAATAACGTGCTGTTGGTGGTCTTACTGTGTCTGCTCTATGGTCCTCTGTTTGCCTGTGTGAACACACCTCGCCCTCTCCTTGGACACATCACTGGACTCCTATACCTTCTCTTCTTGTTAGTGTAGCTATTTAAATTCTGCTTATACTATCATGACGTGTCTTTTACTTCAGTATCATAACCATTGAGATGGGCAGGGGCCTTGTCTATGGTGGATGTGAAGTTCAAATCGACAAAGAAGGGGTATTGTAACTAATATCAAGAGTATACATGAGAGAGAGAGAGAGTATCGAACTATGTATATATATTTGCATACAAACACTGTGTCCAAAGTAGCGGTGACATGCACGTGATGAAACTCAGTAAAACAACCCGTAATAAACTATTAAGTTTGATACGTTGGGGAAAATGGCCTGTTTCACATTGGTACCACATTGTCTGTCTGACTGCACAAGTAACTGTTCATAAACTTGTCTGTTGTTGTGTTATGGTTATGTCCTCTGTTCTCTTAGCCACTATATATGGGTTGTATGTTATCACCACAGCATATGTCAATAGCTAGCTATGAAAGATCACGACTGATTGTAAGATATCAGAGTCTTATTCTCATGAGCCCAATCTCTGTCGGACTGCACTGTCGCTGCGCACTGCAGGAACCGTTACCCACGATCGCACTGGACTAGGAGTGCTACAATACTCTCTCATTTACTCTTGCTAATATTATGGGAAGCACTAAAAATCTTTTATTTTACAGGTTGCCATTCTTGTTATGGGCTTCATACCATCCTACATATTCTATGTGATTCTGCTAGTGTGGTTCAGCTACGAGATTGTGAATGATATACTTGTTCTAAAGAGAGGTTATGGAATTTCCCCCCCATGTGGAAAGGTTACTTCCTTCTATAATGCTCTACAATCTTGATAACACTGGAATATTCTTTCTTAGAATGCATACCTTTTTAAGTACACGGGATACCTTTTAAGCAAGAGGTGAGTGGGGGTAAATAGTGACAGTGGTTATTGTTCTTACACTTCTCCCCCAGGGAAGAACTAGCTAAAGGTAGATGGCAGCAACTCCTGTCCTTTTTCTGGATCTTTGAGAAAGGTAAGTGGCCACTGCTATTGTTACAATGATTAAAACACTGACACTGACACAGGTTTCAGATTCCCTCTAAGATTTCTTGCTCCCCTGATTGTGATGATAACGATAAATTTCAAGGTTGGGTTGAATATATAATATAATATTTTATATCATATTTTTCAAATTTGACAGCTTTTCTTTGTAGTAGTCTACGCTGCATATTTTGTACCGCCATGGACAGATGTTTTTATAAGGAGTGTAACTGATATTGAAACAGGGGACAGTCAGTAAGTGCTTACTGTGGCTGAGCTAAATAATCTGTTTCATTGTTTTATTTTTTAGCTTTAGCCATCCTGTCGGGTTTTATAGCGATGGGGATGTGTGGAGTTCTGCTTCTGCAGTTTGTAGCAACTGTTCAGTAAGTGCACAGAACAGAGTATATAGAATGATAATGAGTAAACCACTAATCCTATTGGCACATAGCTACACCTGAAACTCATGCCCCTGCAGCAAACACCTGAAGCTGGCAGCTCAGGGGAAGTTCAAGTTCTACAAAAGGACTCTCCCACCTCATTCAAGCATTCTGGTGAAACGGTTTTTTTACAAGCTCAAACCGCTTTCCACACTAAGGGTGGTGTGGTGTTTCTTGTATCTTTAGGCAGCTGCTCTGAAGTATGGAGGTTATCAGATCGGTTACTTTGCATGGGGTAAGACCATCCTTAGGATCATCGCCTGACCCTATAGCTACATGCCTGCATTTTGGCAAATGCAGCTTGGCTGATCTTTTGGGCCGTGGCTCTAATACTATTAGTGCTAATATCATCTGTCTTTGTTGGTCTCAAACATTACCCGGAGTATGTTGGTCCAAAAGTCTTCCAATTGGCGTGAGTCTTGTGTGGTAAATACAATCAGTCTAACACATTAACAAGAACTCTTCCACCAGATTAACAATTGCCTGGATTCCTATTGTGTTACTGGCACACAAATTGGTATGCAAGTTTGCTTTTCTGGAAAGTGACACTGGAGGACGGTTTCTATCCGTTACAAACAGGTATAGCCAGCTCCATTACAAACAGGTAGCTTTGCCTCCCTTTTATATACCTCTTAGCCATTATTTCTATTAAAAAAGTGGGGCACAAGTTACCCGTATACTCCCTTGTGTGTGCAAGTCATTTCAGGGGGGGAGGACAATTTAATTCTTTAGATGGTATGCATTTCTCTTTAATAAGTAGAAATTGTGCATTCAGTATTAGTGCCTAGTATTATTACCCCTATCTTATAAAGCTCTGGACACGTTAATGTGTTTGTGGCTGGTTAAGTGTTAAAAACCCCTCTCCCTGCTCCATGCTTATCTTTGCCATAGGAATGGTTTCAACTGTTTCTCGTACTTTGTCTTCTTGTACAATGGGATTGTGGGGTTTGTGGCGGCCATATTCAGAGTCCTGCTCGGTCTCCTGTTTGGGACACTCCTCCTATTCAGACTAGACCAGAACATCATGATGGACCACTTCAAGTTTGCTGACCTAGGTCTGTACATGCTCCTCAGTCTGTGTTTAAGAACAAAGGATGCAAATAACCCTATTTTTTGACAAGTAATGCACTACAGCCTTGTATGATTGCAGGGCACAAGATATATCTGGGGTTTCTCTATCTGGAGCACACCTACAATAACCCCGTGGCCAACACCTTTGTGGCCCTACTGACGGATGGTGGTGACCAGGAAGAGAAAGGAGACAGAAGCGGATTAAATAGTAAGCAAATGCAAGCCTTTTTCGTTCTGAAGGGGAAATATTCACCTTAGGACATTGCAGTAAAACTTATGGGACTCTCTCCAGTCAAAAAGGTGCACAAACTTTAGTAGCTAGTAAACGAATACTGAAGTTTGCTGCCACAGGGCCAGGTGGAAGGAACCGTAGGATCCGGAACCGTTGGCTGGTGGCCTACACTCTGATCAACAACCCCGGCCTCATTCCACTGCGGGCCTCACAGATGGAGGCCCAGGGAGAGGGAGGAGCAGAGGTCAAGGAGCATTATGAGCCTATTGTGCTGATACCTGGAATACATTGACATTATTGCGAGACCGATTTTCATTTGTTATTGTTCATGGCACATATCATATAGCTAGCTGAAATAAAGCCACAAAGAGACAACAAACAACACAACCTTGATTGGATATCGGGCGTGGTGCTTACGCGCGCGCATGCATTACCCGATCGCGCGTGCGCGTCGCGAGGTACTAGGTAGGCATTTGCGTGGGGCCCGGCGGCGGACCTCTGGAGCTCGACTATATAGATAGCTAGCGAGAATCGAAGCCAGCTAGCAATGTAAGTTGCTGGCCATTCGTTTTATATATATACGCCACCCACAGTGCGGCGCTGCGTGATTGAATCGGCTTATAATTAGCACTTTTCACAGGGATTGCGAAGCACTTTTGTCGGGGTATGGTTTTTGCTTCTTCATTTTGATATGTTCATCGGTGAGTATATACACAACAGACGCACTCTCAGAAAAATCAAGGGACTATGTAATTTTGTACATTGTGCTCACCTTTGAGCAGATAGTGATTCTAGCGGTATTGTCATTTTCAACACACCGTAAAAACCTTTGCCTGGAATGCTGCAGTGGTCGTCCAGGACTATACTCGTGAGTCATACGTACAGCTACATAAACATAGCAAATGTCTCCTTTGTCACTGTGCATTAGCATTTTCTCATTGGATAGGGGCCCTCAATTCTTAAGGTAAAACCAAGGGGTGGTCTTGTAGACACAGAATAAGCACACATCTATCCCATAGTTTTACAGTATAGTGTGGCAGGTATTACACTAGTACTTATACTGTAATGGGTTTATGCAAATCCCAGTATCTACTCTAATGAATAACTACAAGGTAGGGGAGGGGTAATACACACATGGGACAACTATAATTATACCTATTGTCACCTACTATATACCTGGAGGTATAACACTAGGAGACAATGCTGTATAGCCGGAGAGTATCTCACAAGCCTGGGGAGGAATTCGTTCTGAAGTGTATAGTAGGTGAAACATAACTGAAAGGGCATATAGAGATGGTTGTAAAAGCACACCAGTCCAGTTGACAGTGTGTGTCATGGGCTCTAGAGAGTCAGAGCCACTTAAAGAAAACTATGCCGTTTTTACCGTTCCTATCTTTGCCTTGTATATACCACGTATGTTCCAAATGTGGCATAACTACCCTTGCTCTGGTCACTATAGTCCAGTTGACTTGCTACATCGTGGACCACATCGACTGATCTATGCTGTGATATTTGGAGCCATGTCTGACCAGTTTCTCAACCTAGCACTTATAGGTGGTGGCAGTGTCTTCAGCACTATCATTACAAATCCATATGCGCTAGCCATATGTGATGTAGGTAAGGGAACCCATGGAATTCTGGAGTAAAATGATGCCTAATAATAAATTTTTAGCTATTTCTAACGTGCTGTCAGTGCTCTTACTGTGTCTGCTCTATGGTCCTCTGTTTGCCTGTGTGAACACACCTCGCCCCCTCCTTGGACACATCACTGGACTCCTATACCTCCTCCTGTCAGTATAACTTAATGTGCTCTTCAATCAGTATATACACGTGCTGTCTAATGTTCTAGGATAGCAACTTTTGAAACATATACTGGTGTTGTTTACATTCAATGTGATGGAGCAACTTACGACGAAGGACAGGTTAATTGATTGGTTACGGTGCTAAACTGGTGTGTATATTATAGTAAAGCCACACTCTGCAGATGACCCTTGTAATCCTGACTTACCTACCCTCGTACATGTTCTATGTGATTCTGATAGCGTGGTTCATCTATGAAATAGTGAACGACGTAGCCATTGCCAAGAGGGGAAGAGGTATTCTCTTCACGCACAAAAAGGTATATAGAGACTCTACTCACTGGTCTATGGTATATACCATTAAATCATTCTTTTCTCAGAATGCTTACCTTTACAAGTACACTGGACACCTCCTGAGAAAAAAGTAAGCAGAGAGTGCGTAATTATGAGTAAGGCTAATATTCCTGGTACGATTCAGAGTGGTACCAGCTGATAGATGGAGCAGATGGCAGAAATTCAAAGCCTTGTTTTGGGTCTACGAGAAAGGTTTTTTTTCATTCGGCTGTCACAGTTGTGTAGATTTAATATTGCTAGTTCCGCTACTTTGTGGCACCAGACTATTCTATTCCCTAAGAAGCTTTATTATTGCCCTTTTTTTAGATTTCCGGTTTCCTCTGAGACTTGTTGCTCCACTGGTGGTGATGATAGTCCTAAATTTCAAGGTCTGTTAGCTACCATGAATATCATTGTGTCGGTTAGCTATATACCATCAATATTGTTGTGTCTGTTAGCTACCATCAATATCATTGTGTCTGTTAGCTACCATCAATATCATTGTGTCTGTTAGCTACCATCAATATCATTGTGTCTGTTAGCTACCTACCATCAATATCATTGTGTCTGTTAGCTACCATCAATATTCATTATTGTCTGGGATTTTGTTAGGTTCTTGGTTCAGTGGACTCCCACTGTGGACCTCTGAAAGTTTTTCTTTACATTCTCTCACAAAAATGTAAACAGGGAAAATGTGTTTATACACACTCTATATACCATGTCTACAGCTATTCTTTCTTGTTGTGTACTGGACCGACACAACTTCGGCAACATTGATAGAGCTTTTCACAAGCAACAATGCTATTGCAAAACAACTTCGCAGTGCAAGTCTAGGTACGTTTGAATACTAATCTAATTGTAAATTGTATGACAACAAATGTATTACGTAAAGTTATTGGAGTCTTTAATATTACTCAGCTGGTGCTGTTCTGGCCGGTTTGATGGCAATGGGAGTGTGTGGAGTCCTTCTGCTGCAGTTTGCAGCAACAGTTCAGTAAGTCAGTCATTCAAAGAAGTCTATAGTTCCTTGGAAGATGGCCTGATTACAGGATTACAAGAACTCTTGTGGCTCACAATGTCATATAATACATGAAACCACCACTGCAGCAAACACCTCAAGCTGGCAGCTCAGGGGAAGTTCAAGTTCTACTCTAAGTCACTTCCGTCCCATACAAACATTCTGGTGAACACTTGTCACAGCAGTTTTCCGTGTTATAGTTTTGACTATCCTCACCTAACCCCAGGTATCTGCCTTGAAGTATGGAGGCTATCAGATTGGTTATTTTGCTTGGGGTAAGGAATATATTGCATGGCACTGAATTATGTTTAACGGTTTAAAAGTCCCAATCTGCAAGGGATGTACTCAACGAGTCAATAACTACTGTAAATCATTTCCACAAACTTGTGTGTTTCTACAAACAAGTTGCACTATAGGTAGTCATTTTCACATTACAAGTTTCTCACAACTGTTTATCATTCCAGCTTGGTTGATCTTTTGGTGTGTGTCCCTAGCACTGTTGGGTGCTATAGCAGCTCCCTTTGTTGGGCTTAAGCTATACCCACAGGTTGTTGGTCCCCGACTCTTCAAATATGTGTAGGTCCAATAGTAGCTATACACCATACAGCTATATATACAACAGATACTGACATTATCATAGACTGACAGTGTTGTGGATCCCCGTGGTACTGTTTGCACACAAACTTATGTGCAAGTTTGTTTTTCTGGAGAATGATACCGGAGGAAAGTTCCTTTCCATCACAAACAGGTGAGGCCTAACACACTGAACCCCCAACATAAGAAGAACCGGGTCTATACTGTGCTCAACACCCTGTAGGAATGGTTTCAACTGTTTCTCGTACTTTGTCTTCTTGTACAATGGGATTGTGGGGTTTGTGGCGGCCATATTGAGAGTCCTGCTCGGTCTCCTGTTTGGGACACTCCTCCTATTCAGACTGGACCAGAACATCATGATGGACCACTTCAAGTTTGCTGATCTAGGTCCGAACTGGTACCTACAGCTATATCCTCTATCCATGCACTTCAGTAACTGGAACTGTGTTGATGGGTGTGTCCTAATATTGTTTTACCCATACTTGGACTGCCACCTGAAACCCCCTCTCAATGAACATTGTCGTGGTGTACCATTCTAGGACACAAGACATATCTGGGCTTTCTCTATCTGGAGCACACCTACAATAACCCCGTGGCCAACGCCTTTGTGGCCCTATTGACTGATGGTGGTGACCAGGAAGACAAATACTCCCTAAAACGTGAGCAAAGTAACATAAGAGGCATCAATATAAAAGTTGTGTTTCTGGGTGGAACTCTGAACTGAATTCCTTAGATGCCATAGTACTCACCAAATTGCTGATAATTTTCACTGGAAAAGGATTAAATGGGTGGCCCCAGCTTATTTGAGACTTTGCTATTTCACTGCCCCAGGACCCCCTGGAAGGAATCGTAGGATCCGCAACCGTTGGCTGGTGGCCTACACTCTGATGAACAACCCCGGCCTCATTCCACTGCGGGCCTCACAGATGGAGGCCCAGCGAGATGGAGTGGGTCAGGAGGCAGAGCCGGAAAAAAGGGCACTGAATGATTATGAACCCATTGTGCTCGTTCACTGACAATGTTATTCTTTAGATTCACTCTAGAAACTAATGGTAGGGTGCGGTACTACACACTGCCAATGTACAATGAACTGTTTGTATACATTATGTAGTTCAAATACAACAGAGAAAAGTACTGCTATATAGCCAAGTAAAAATGTCAAAATCTGAATAAATAAAGAGCAGGGGTGGGAGGGCATTTTTAACACAGTTACAAGCACAACTGAGGCTGATACAGTAAACGAATAGCCCGAGGGAGTTGACAGGTTATGCAGAAGAAAGGTAGGCCTATAATTTTGAACCTGCTATATTATGACTCTGTTCGCATGCTGCCTTATCAGCACGAGTACTGCTTCGCTTTTTGTCTGCTAAGTTGCATTTTTGTACTAATGGTGCACAAAAAACACAAAATAAGCGTATGCGCTAACTGTGGTATAAACCCCGACATGATTATTATTAACCGGTGGACGGTTGGTTACGCTGCGTTCGGTGCGCGCCGCTTTCAGACATAGATTGCACCTGGTAGAGTGTTTTCTTCTTTATCAGGGTGTAAATTTTCTTGAAACAGTGTACACAATTATTCTGGTGTGCAACACTAAACTGCATGATTAACCCTATAAGATGTGTGCTATAATTATACAAGGTATTACAGTGGTAGGACCTTGACCGGCCGTACGTAGACCTGGCATGGGAGGCCTGCGAAGCCCCTACAAACGACTCAGCCTCAGCAGCAGTGGAAAAACCCTTGTAGACTGCCCCAGAGTACTTGTCAACCTGAGAACGACACCCTTCCCTGCAGACAAGCACACAATTTTCCACCAACAGGGGATAACTTTACACTGTGCAGGGACCGGAGTTGCTTGGGTCTGAAATAACACAACAGGGCTACCTCTAGTGCTGCGAAAAGCCTTTCGCAAAGGGACGGTAGTAGCAAAGGGAAGTAGCTTCATAAGTTAGACGCGAGACTGAGGTTTCAAGAAACGAGACTAGGTGCGCTCTAAAAAGAGGGACGTTTACTTACGATGTGTTGAAGACTCCGACCTCCCGGCCTACTCTGACGGCGTAGTAGCTCTTCCTCATTTTCCTCATCCTTGACAGGCCACACTCCACACCTCCTGACTTCAATTTCGTTCTAAAAATGGACCGTTGGAGTAGCGCAAAGCCTTGCTTCGCCGTGTCGTCGTCGCTCAACACATGCACCAAGGGGGGCGTGTCGATATTCGTGGCGGGAACCTACTGCGCATGCGCAATTGGGGCTAAATGACCCCGGCAATAACGCACACGCACACCTTGGGATTCCCAAATCTTCACTCTGTCGAGTACGTAGCTCTTATCCAGGCGTTGAGGAGTCATGTAAGTATTACCTTTACCCAACACTGCCTGTCTCAAATCTCAATTATCACAGGGCTTGTGCAGCAATCGTGGCAGCGTATTCGTCCTGTTCCTCCATTCTGCTACTTTTGGCAGTAAGTAGCCGCACACGGAGCTCCTACTCTCTCCTTATAGCTGTCAAAACGCTTTCCCCCATTACTCAGATAGTAATACTAGTGGTACTGTCATTCTCCAATCGCCGTAAAAGTGTCTGCCTGGAGTGCTGCAATGGTCGTCCTGGACTCTACTCGTGAGTCACGGCGGTATAATGTATATACGAGCATGTCCAGTATCCGTTGGCATAACTAAACTGCACAATTATAAAAGAGTTGGCTCATGGTCCAATATTTGCTAAGATAATGGTTACTCTTTCCCTCCTTCCTCCCTTGTATAATACACTGGTCACTATAGTCCAGTGGACTTGCTACATCGTGGACCACATCGACTGATCTATGCTGTGATATTTGGAGCCATGTCTGACCAGTTTCTGAGCCTAGCACTGAATTTTTCTGGAGGTGCTTTTTGCAACTCTGATAATCCATACGGAAAAGCGTTTTGTAATGTTGGTAAGAAGCCATTGTCTTACGTGGTATGGCTAAACGACACACTACTTCAGTGGTCAATAACGTGCTGTCAGTGCTCTTACTGTGTCTGCTCTATGGTCCTCTGTTTGCCTGTGTGAACACACCTCGCCCCCTCCTTGGACACATCACTGGACTCCTATACCTTCTCTTCTTGTTAGTGTAGCTATTTAAATTCTGCTTATACTATCATGACGTGTCTTTTACTTCAGTATCATAACCTCTGAGATGTACAGGGGCTTTGTGTATGGTGGATGTGAAGAAATCGACAAAGAAGGGGTATTGTAACTAATATCAAGAGTAGCTACATAAGAGAGAGAGAGAGAGAGAGTATCGAACTGTGTATACCTGCGTACAAAGTAATGGTAACACACACGCGATGAAACTCTGTTTATTGTATTTTGCGTGGGCGAATCAAAGGCGCCGCCAGTACTATATTCATCATACAGAACGGTTTTTGAATGAACTGTACTATATCGCGCGGAACTGTACTATATCACACGAACTGTACTATATCCGCGGACTAGCGTACGCTTTGCGGGAATGACGCCTCGGCGGCCTTTCGTAGACGGAGGTCGACTCAGACGGTGACACAAACAGCTGCTGGAAGGGCGCTCCGCGAGCTTCTCGTCCTCTCTTCCGTTCTGAACGCCGGTTTTCCTGGTCACCGCCTTTTGAATCGCCCACGCATACAATAAATTACTTAATGTACGGAAGCACGTGCTGTGCGCGTGATAATGGTACTCGGGATAGATCATACAGCAACTCGGCTGCGCCTCGTGCTGTATGACTATCTCGACCACGCCCCTCGTACCAGTATTACGCGCACAGCACTGACTTCCGTACATTAACTATGACATATAAAACAACCCATAATCAACTAGTAAACGTCATCAATTTATAGTATATTACGGGTTGTTTTACAGAGTTTCGTCACATGTGTGTCACTGTTACTCTGTGTTTGTATGCAGGTATACGCAGTTCAATACTCTCTCTCATGTACTCTACAGGTTGCCATTCTTGTTATGGGCTTCATACCATCCTACATATTCTATGTGATTCTGCTAGTGTGGTTCAGCTATGAGATTGTGAACGATATACTTGTTCTAAAGAGAGGTTATGGCATTTTCCCCCCACGTGGAAAGGTTACTTCATTCTATAATGATCTACAATCTTGATAACACTGGAACATTCTTTCTTAGAATGCATACCTTTTTAAGTACACGGGATACCTTCTAAGCAAGAGGTGAGTGGGGGTAAATACAGCTACATGACAGTGGTTATTGTTCTTACAATTCTCCCCCAGAGAAGAACTAGCTAAAGGTAGATGGCAGCAACTCCTGTCCTTTTTCTGGATCTTTGAGAAAGGTAAAGTGACCACTGCTATTGTTATATTCTTATTATTATTATTAAAACACTGACACATTTCTAACAGGTTTCAGATTCCCTCTAAGATTTCTTGCTCCCCTGATTGTGATGATAACGATAAATTTCAAGGTTGGATATAATGTATAATATAATATTTTATATCATATGTTTCAAATTTTGACAGCTTTTCTTTGTAGTAGTCTACGCTGCACATTTTGTATCGCCACTGACAGATTTTAGAGTATGGAGAGTAACTGATATTGAAAAGGGGACAGTCAGTAAGTGCTTACTGTGGCTGAGCTAAATAATTGGTTTCATTTTTTTTAGCTTTAGCCATCCTGTCGGGTTTGATAGCAATGGGGATGTGTGGAGTTCTGCTTCTGCAGTTTGTAGCAACTGTTCAGTAAGTGCACAGTGTTCTATTCAGGGAACAGAGTATATAGAATGATAATGAGTAAACCACTAATCCTATTGGCACATAGCTACACCTGAAACTCATGCCCGCTGCAGCAAACACCTTAAGCTGGCAGCTCAGGGGAAGTTCAAGTTCTACAAAAGGACTCTCCCACCTCATTCAAGCATTCTGGTGAAATGTTTTTTACAAGCTCAAAGTGCTTTCCACACTAAAGGTGGTGTGGTGTTTCTTGACCCCTTGTGTGTGCAAGTCATTTCAGGAGGGAGGGGCAATTGTATGCATTTCTCCTTAATAAGCAGAAATCGTGCATTCAGTATTAGTGCCTAGTATTATAACCCCTATCTTATAAAGCTCTGGACACGTTTATGAGTTTGTGGCTGGTTAAGTGTTAAAACCCCCTCTCCCTGCTCCGTGTTTATCTTTGCCATAGGAATGGTTTCAACTGTTTCTCGTACTTTGTCTTCTTGTACAATGGGATTGTGGGGTTTGTGGCGGCCATATTCAGAGTCCTGCTCGGTCTCCTGTTTGGGACACTCCTCCTATTCAGACTGGACCAGAACATAATGATGGACCACTTCAAGTTTGCTGACCTAGGTCTGTACATGCTCCTCAGTCTGTGTTTAAGAACAAAGGATGCCTATTTTTTTACAAGTAATGCACTACAGCCTTGTATGATTGCAGGGCACCAGATATATCTGGGGTTTCTCTATCTGGAGCACACCTACAATAACCCCGTGGCCAACACCTTTGTGGCCCTACTGACCGATGGTGGTGACCAGGAAGAGAAAGGAGACAGAAGCGGATTAAATAGTAAGCAAATGCAAGCCTTTTTCGTTCTGAAGGGGAAATATTCACCTTAGGACATTGCAGTAAAACTTATGGGACTCTCTCCAGTCAAAAAGGTGCACAAACTTTAGTAGCTATATAGTAAACGAATACTGAAGTTTGCTGCCACAGGGCCAGGTGGAAGGAACCGTAGGATCCGCAACCGTTGGCTGGTGGCCTACACTCTGATCAACAACCCCGGCCTCATTCCACTGCGGGCCTCACAGATGGAGGCCCAGGGAGAGGGAGGAGCAGAGGTCAAGGAGCATTATGAGCCTATTGTGCTGATACCTGGAATACATTGACATTATTGCGAGACCGATTTTCATTTGTTATTGTTCATGGCACATATCATATAGAAGTGGTTTAAACTGAAATAAAGCCACAAAGAGACGACAAACAACAAACAACACAACCTTGACTGGATATCGGGCGTGGTGCTTATGCGCATGCGTAAAATGCATTGCTCGATCGCGCATCGATGCATCGCGAGGCATTTGCGTGGGGCGGACCTGGAGCGGCAGTCGGCAAAACTCGACTAGATAGCTAGAGAATCAAAGCCAGCTAGCAATGTAAGTTGCTGGCCATTCTGTTTTATATACGCCACCCACAGTGCGGCGCTGCGTGATTGTTAATTATAACTTTTCACAGGGATTGCGAAGCACTTTGGTCGGGGTATGGTTTTTGCCTCTTCATTTTGATATGTTCATCGGTGAGTATATACACAACAGACGCACTCTCAGAAAAATCAAGGGACTATGTAATTTTGTACATTGTGCTCACCTTTGAGCAGATAGTGATTCTAGCGGTATTGTCATTTTCAACACACCGTAAAAACCTTTGCCTGGAATGCTGCAGTGGTCGTCCAGGACTATACTCGTGAGTCATACGTACAGCTACATATAAACATAGCAAATGTCTCCTTTGTCACTGTGCATTAGCATTTTCTCATTGGATAGGGGCCCTCAATTCTTAAGGTAAAACCAAGGGGTGGTCTTGTAGACACAGAATAAGCACACATCTATCCCATAGTTTTACAGTATAGTGCAATGCTTATACCGCAATGCTTATACCGCATGGGACAACTATATACCTACTATATACCTGGAGGTATAACAACAGTCTTGTAGACACAGAATAAGCACACATCTATCCCATAGTTTTACAGTATAGTGTGGCAGGTATTACACTAGTACTTATACTGTAATAACTACACCCTTGCTCTGGTCACTATAGTCCAGTTGACTTGCTACATCGTGGACCACATCGACTGATCTATGCTGTGATATTTGGAGCCATGTCTGACCAGTTTCTCAACCTAGCACTTATAGGTGGTGGCAGTGTCTTCAGCACTATCATTACAAATCCATATGCGCTAGCCATATGTGATGTAGGTAAGGGAACCCATGGAATTCTGGAGTAAAATGATGCCTAATAATAAATTTTTAGCTATTTCTAACGTGCTGTCAGTGCTCTTAGTGTGTCTGCTCTATGGTCCTCTGTTTGCCTGTGTGAACACACCTCGCCCCCGCCTTGGACACATCACTGGACTCCTATACCTCCTCCTGTCAGTATAACTTAATGTGCTCTTCAATCAGTATATACACGTGCTGTCTATATGTTCTAGGATAGCAACTTTTGAAACATATTCTGGTGTTGTTTACACTCAATGTGATGGAGTAACATACAATGGAGGACAGGTTAATGGATTGGTTACGGTGCTAAACTGGTGTATAGTAAAGCCACACTCTGCAGATGACCCTTATAATTCTGACTTCCCTACCCTCGTACATGTTCTATGTGATTCTGATAGCGTGGTTCATCTATGAAATAGTGAACGACGTAGCCATTGCCAAGAGGGGAAGAGGTATTCTCTCACACACAAAAAGGTATATAGAGACTCTACTCACTGGTCTATGGATATACCATAAATCATTCTTTTCTCAGAAGCTTACCTTTACAAGTACACTGACACCTCCTGAGAAAAAGTAGCGCGAGAGTGCGTAATTATGAGTAGGCTAATATTCCTGGTACGATTCAGAGTGGTACCAGCTGATAGATGGAGCAGATGGCAGAAATTCAAATCCTTGTTTTGGGTCTACGAGAAAGGTTTTTTTCATTCGGCTGTCACAGTTGTGTAGATTTAATATTGCTAGTTCCGCTACTTTGTGGCACCAGACTATTCTATCCCTAAGAAGCTTTATTATTGCCTTTTTTTAGATTTCCGGTTTCCTCTGAGACTTGTTGCTCCACTGGTGGTGATGATAGTCCTAATTTCAAGGTCTGTTAGCTACCATGAATATCATTGTGTCGGTTAGCTATATACCATCAATATTGTTGTGTCTGTTAGCTACCATCAATATCATTAGCTATATACCATCAATATCACTGTGTCTGTTAGCTACCATCAATATCGTTAGCTACCATCAATATCATTGTGTCTGTTAGCTACCATCAATATCGTTAGCTACCATCAATATCATTGTGTCTGTTAGCTACCATCGATATCGTTAGCTACCATCAATATCATTGTGTCTGTTAGCTACCATCGATATCGTTAGCTACCATCAATATCATTGTGTTGGTTAGCTACCATCTCATTGTGTCTGTTAGCTACCATCAATATTCGTTATTGTCTGGGATATTGTTAGGTTCTTGATTCAGTGGACTCCCACTGTGGGCCTCTGAAAGTTTTTCTTTACATTCTCTCACAAAACGTAAACGGGAAAATGTTTATATACAAACTCTACCATGTCTACAGCTATTCTTTCTTGTTGTGTACTTGACCGACACAACTTCGGCAACATTGATAGAGCTTTTCACAAGCAACAATGCTATTGCAAAACAACTTCGCAGTGCAAGTCTAGGTACGTTTGAATACTAATCTAAGTGTAATTGTATGACAACAAATGTATGACGTAAAGTGATTGGAGTCTTAATAGTCCTCAGCTGTGCGTCTGGGCGGTTTGATGGCAATGTGAGGTGTGTGGAGTCCTTCTGCTGCAGTTTGCAGCACAGTTTCAGTAGTCAGTCATTCAAAGAAGTCTATAGTTCCGTGGCAGATGGCCTGATACTGATTACAAGAACTCTGTTGGCTCACAGTGTCATATAATACTGAAACCACCACTGCAGCACCACCTCAGGCTGGCAGCTCATGGGAAGTTCAGTTCTACTCTAAAGTCACTTCCGTCCCATACAAACATTCTGTGTGAATCACTTGTCACAGCAGTTGTTTCCGTGTTATAGTTTGGACTATCCTCACCTAACCCCAGTATACTGCCTTGAAGTCTTAGGCTATCAGCATCAGATTGGTTATTTTGTGCTTGGGTGCGATCTATCTGCCTGGCACTGAATTATGTTTAGAAGTAACGTTTAAAAGTCCCAATCTGCAAAGGATGTACTCACGAGGCAATAACTACTGTAATCAATTTCCACAAACTTTGTGTGTTCTACAAACAAGTTGCACTATAGTAGTCCCTCATTTTCACATTACAAGTTCTCACAACTGGTTTCTCATTCAGCTTGGTTGATCTTTTGGGTGTGTCCCTAGCACTGTTGGGTGCTATAGCAGCTCCCTTGTTGGGCTTAAGCTATACCCACAGGTTGTTGGTCCCCGACTCTTCAAATATGTGTAGGTCCAATATATAGTACACCATACAGCTATATATACAACAGATACTGACATTATCATAGACTGACAGTGTTGTGGATCCCCGTGGTACTGTTTGCACACAAACTTATGTGCAAGTTGTTTTTCTGGAGAATGATACCGGAGGAAAGTTCCTTTCCATCACAAACAGGTGAGCCTAACACACTGAACCCCCACATAAGAAGACCGGGTCTATACTGTGCTCAACACCCTGTAGGAATGGTTTCAACTGTTTTCTCGTACTTTGTCTTCTTGTACAATGGGATTGTGGGTTTGTGGCGGCCATATTCAGAGTCCTGCTCGGTCTCCTGTTTGGGACACTCCTCCTATTCAGACTGGACCAGAACATCATGATGGACCACTTCAAGTTTGCTGATCTAGGTCCGAACTGGTACCTACAGCTATATCCTCTATCCATGCACTTCAGTAACTGGAACTGTGTTGATGGGTGTGTCCTAATATTGTTTTACCCATACTTGGACTGCCACCTGAAACCCCCTCTCAATGAACATTGTCGTGGTGTACCATTCTAGGACACAAGACATATCTGGGCTTTCTCTATCTGGAGCACACCTACAATAACCCCGTGGCCAACGCCTTTGTGGCCCTATTGACTGATGGTGGTGACCAGGAAGACAAATACTCCCTAAAACGTGAGCAAAGTAACATAAGAGGCATCAATATAAAAGTTGTGTTTCTGGGTGGAACTCTGAACTGAATTCCTTAGATGCCATAGTACTCACCAAATTGCTGATAATTTTCACTGGAAAAGGATAATTAAATGGGTGGCCCCAGCTTATTTGAGACTTTGCTATTTCACTGCCCCAGGACCGCCTGGAAGGAATCGTAGGATCCGCAACCGTTGGCTGGTGGCCTACACTCTGATGAACAACCCCGGCCTCATTCCACTGCGGGCCTCACAGATGGAGGCCCAGCGAGATGGAGTGGGTCAGGAGGCAGAGCCGGAAAAAAGGGCACTGAATGATTATGAACCCATTGTGCTCGTTCACTGACAATGTTATTCTTTAGATTCACTCTAGAAACTAATGGTAGGGTGCGGTACTACACACTGCCAATGTACAATGAACTGTTTGTATACATTATGTAGTTCAAATACAACAGAGAAAAGTACTGCTATATAGCCAAGTAAAAATGTCAAAATCTGAATAAATAAAGAGCAGGGGTGGGAGGGCATTTTTAACACAGTTACAAGCACAACTGAGGCTGATACAGTAAACGAATAGCCCGAGGGAGTTGACAGGTTATGCAGAAGAAAGGTAGGCCTATAATTTTGAACCTGCTATATTATGACTCTGTTCGCATGCTGCCTTATCAGCACGAGTACTGCTTCGCTCTTTGTCTGCTAAGTTGCATTTTTGTACTAATGGTGCACAAAAAACACAAAATAAGCATATGCGCTAACTGTGGTATAAACCCCGACATGATTATTATTAACCGGTGGACGGTTGGTTACGCTGTGTTCGGTGCGCGCCGCTTTCAGACATAGATTGCACCTGGTAGAGTGTTTTCTTCTTTATCAGGGTGTAAATTTTCTTGAAACAGTGTACACAATTATTCTGGTGTGCAACACTAAACTGCATGATTAACCCTATAAGATGTGTGCTATATACAAGGTATTACAGTAAAAACCCGTCACAGCAGTGTTGCATAATATGATACTCAGTACTCTGGTGGCTGGTAGTTCTGACCCCCTCCTTCCCGATCACTGGCATCATCAGTACTACCCCCCTCTGGGAAGGAGGCATACCCTCCCCCCTTTCCTCCCCCTCCCCCTCCCCCTCCCCCTCCCCCTCCTCCTCCCTCTTTCATCACCCTCACGAAGAAGAACACGTTTATTGCCACGATCCCAGCCTGGAGTGTGTGTGTGTGTGTGTGTGTGTGCGTGTGTGCATGTGCAAACATTCAAAGTGTACTTGGGTATGTGAAGGATGACATTCTAATGGGATAAGACCACTTGAACAAAAAATGGACCCTCATCTAAGCAGGGATTGTCTACACAGGGCTTGCTTCCACTACATTGCATATACCTTTCATTCTAAGAAGCTTTCTCAGGGGCACTAGGTCAGAGCTACTCTCTCTCCAGCATAATATATTTTCTTTCAAACTTTCTTCCTCTCTTTCTGACTACGCACTCTTCACCATTCTTTCAGTTTATATACCAGGCATGGGATCGGGAGCGAGATGCGCGGATCAATTGATCTGAGGTAACCAGGTACACAAAGTTATCCATGCCAGCGCTTACGAGCTAACACGGCTCCAACATAATATGTAATTATTTCTCACCCATATGAACATGCAGAAGAACGAGAAGGCCACACCACTGTTGCCACAGTTGCGGGAAGATGCATCCTTCACGGAGGTCTTTCTCCACTGGTCGGTCAAGTAGACAAAGGCCACGAACCACATGAACGTCCATAGACCATTTGCCACTGCGTCCACCACCAATATCACCTTCTTTACCTGCACACACACACACACACACACACACACAACAAACAATGCTTCAACATGTATATAGGGGGCAAAAAACTAGTGTTTAAATGTCTGCTGCAACTAATTATTGGGAGCATAGTAGTATAGTACAAATATGATCAGTGGGTTCAGATCAATGGAGTATATTATAAACACTGGACAAAGTAAAGCGAAAGTTTTCAAAAAATATATAAACAGAACAAAAATGGAGCAGTACGGAACGAAAACAGAACAGAATTGGGAACAATTGGATGGTATGGGAGTACTATGCATTCCGTTAGGAGAACAGAATGTAGCAATATTTTCCACGGTGTCTGCTGCATGTATGGATGACTCATACCATGACGTTGTTTCTGAAGTCGATGACGACGTAGACGACGTCTCTGACAAGGAAAACGAGACAGAGGAGAAAGGCTATGACTCCAACAGCCACGCCGAAACTGCAGGCATTGCTGTTGTTGTACCGGCAGTATCCATTGAGCTCCACCTTGTCAGATATGCATCCAAACACTACGATGGAGCACAGCTGCAGGGAGAGGGAGGGACAAATTGAGTGTGTGAGTGTGTGGGTGTTGGTAAGAGCATTATATGTATAGTGCATTTACTTATGCATCCAAACACTATGAGAGACTGAGAGGGAGGGACAAATTGAGTGTGTGTGTTGGTAAGAGCATTATATGTATAGTGCATTTACTTATGCATCCAAACACTATGAGAGACGGAGAGGAAGGGACAAATTGAGTGTGTGTGTTGGTGTTGGCATTATCTTTGTACTACTTATGCACTTTTGTGTTTATATTAACTGTATATACAGTACATAGGTTATTGGACAATAATGGGGTTGTTGTTTTATAAGATAGACAAAAGAACAAAGGCTAGCTTGTAATGTACATTTTAGAGAAGTTACAGAGGTGAACGATTCATGTAGGAGGAAGGATAGGAGGATAAGGAATAATGGGGAGGTGTTGTAGGACAATTTGGCTACAAGAAAACAGCCATTCTATGAAAGGGTGCTACAGAAGGAGGTACACACACAGCAAGCTTTAGCACACACAACACTCACTACGGTGAGTTGGCAAATATGTCGACAGAGTAACTGAGCATGTGACTTTAGTTTTAGTTTCTAATTAGTCCGCACCTGAAGCTTGCACAGAAAACGTTTTTCCCAAAGGCGACTTGCAATCCAGTCCCAGCGTTAATTATACACTATAAAGTTATGCATGCAGACTTTATTATAACTCACGAGTCCGAGGAATCGGATGTAAATGAGCGGCGAGAGAACCAGCTCTTTCAGCAGAATATCTGGTGACTCGTTTAACCGGAAACCGAGGTTCATATTCTGAGCCATTGCTGCAGTTGGTAGAGGACCTCAGTTTATCCAAATGCCGCTTGATTTCTCCTCAAACTAGGGCGCTCAGACTTCCGAAGAGAGAGAAGCTCAAAGACGGGCGTGCCTTGCGTCAGAATCGAACGAGAGATGGGTGGAGTTCAGTTCTAATTAGCGCCCATCGCCCATGTGGTGCAAGGTCGCAAGCACCGCCAGGAGGTTTTCGTCGTTTTATGCTCTCAGAGCGGTCAGCTGTGGGGGACATTGTGCACATACTGCAACATTAGAGCTCAGTCGTTACTGGCGCCGCCACATTAGCGCCAGTATGTCCGGAGAGGAAGCAGAATCTGGCGACGGAAAGAGCCAGACCCCGGAGACTCCCCCGGGGTTCCTGCAGGTTCACGGAGGGACGTGCAAAGATACTCTTTCCCAGCGCGGAGGAGGTCTTCTACAATCCCGTACAAGAGGTCAACAGAGACCTAAGGTATATACCACCCTCAGCATGTCTGTATGTTTGCATCTGCCATGTATGTTCATATTGCAGTACATTGGTGATAAACGTCTTTACGAAGAAAGTGTGGGAGCCCAACAGAAAGAAAAGAAAGAGAAGTGAGTAGCGATCTACAGTAAAACTGTGAATGATTGCAGCACTAAAATTTTCTATTGCACGTGTTTTGTATTAATTAATTATGCTTAATTAAGCATTCCTTGTGCCGAGGGTTTTTCGTTATGAGTGGGTCTGATGTAGTATTGTCAAACAGAGGAAGCGGCCAGACTGGCAGCAGGAACAGAACAGGATGGGGAGAAGGAGAAGAAGGGAGGGGGAAAGAAGGAGCGGGAGGGATCGAAGGAAGAGGTGGAGGAAATGAAGGAGAAAGAAAAAGCTGATGGATCTGAGGCTGAGCTCAGGAGTAGCTCCGACGCAAGTACACCAGTTTATCATCGCTTAACCATGAGACCTGTAAAGCCCTTTGCTATAATTATTTAGGTGAAGATCTCGCAATGTATGAAGACGACAAGGCCAGATCAACAGCAAGACAAACCAGAAACGTACTGGAGGAGCCACATGAGGTGACCCTTTCGGCAACTAGACCACCTCATTTCCCCTCTCCTTGATGTATACATATGTGCAGCGATGCACATGTACTATCTGACAAATTATGACAAATAGAGAAATTCAGTTACATTCCTTTTAGGACTCACGTACTAGCTTTTACTCATGTTTAGGGTGAAAACGTGTGTGCAGGGCTTCGGATTGTATTTCCTCTGTTTCGTCATGTGGTTGGTGTGTTTGGAGAGAGAATTTCTTTGAGTATGTATATACCGATGGTATTGTACTAATTGCAGGAGGTGGAGGAGGTGAGTGTACTGGAGGCACTGGCAGCGACTGGTGTCCGCTCCGTCCGCTATGCCCTCGAGGTCCCGGCAGTATCTCGTGTGGTGGCCAATGACTTTACACGCGAGGCCTACAACAACATGTGCAGGAACATTGCCCACAATAGGGTGGAGAGCAAAGTAACACCGTCCTGTCGGGAGGCCAGGTAAAACATTGAGCACAATGACGCTTGTGTTCTGTCCAGATGCTTTCTCAGACGTCTAGCAACTAGATCTATTGTTTTTGCACGTAATGTATGTTCATGCTGGTTGTGGTATTGTAGTAGTGGCCCTATATAATATAGTCAATCCTGTTTTCCCACCAATGTTGGGAATTTGAATGCTGATGGTTTACAATTCCAGGTATACTGACGACATTTTACAGAATGTATTAGGTAACTGCAGTATGTTAGAACGTGTTAGGTGACTTGCTCATCTGTAATGAATGCCTCTATCTCTGGTCTGATTTTCTCAGCATGTTGATGTATGAGCACCGGGACCCTCTGAAGCAGTTCACAGTCATAGATATCGATCCCTACGGCTCGCCCAGTGTCTTCCTGGACTCTGCCGTACAGGCTGTCAGTGAAGGAGGTACATACATTTGCATGCATTTGCGTCCATTTGCATAATACAATGTTTGGGCATATATACTTGCAGTATTTCTCACCATACTAGGCACACAGTGAACATCGGTATACATGTAGCTAGCTGCCGAGAGCAATTTCAAAAGTCAGATGAGTCCTCGCTGATCCTCAGACACACATTTACAAACCAGTTTTAGTTCTTGTTTCTCTTGCAAATCCAGTAATGGATTTTTGCCCCGTAGAATATGAACATAGTTTGTGGTCTCAGCCGTCCAGTAGTGTAATCACAACCCATAGAATACTTGCATGGTGCTCTGAGCTTCTTGGCTTTGTACATCTCAATATACAGGTAAGCCATACCCACTCTTTCCTCTCCTGCAGTCTTCCTATTGTATATAGTCTATAATAAAATCAACCGATGCTGAATGTCTTTCCCTCCTCACTCGCTCTTCCCACTCCCCCCCCCCTGCAGGTGTTCTCTGCATCACATGTACCGACACCAGTGTCCTCTGTGGCGTCTATCCCGAAACATGCTACTCCAAATACGGCAGTGTGTCTCTGAGACTCAAGTGCGGTCACGAAATGGTCAGTTTGTGTGCACCTCACAACAACTGTACTCTACTACTCTGCTCGTCGTAGCAAGATTGCTATACCCAGTACTAGCATTAACCTGCCTCACTGCTCAACTGACAGTATGTACACAAGGGGTATCCAGTAATGCCACAGGGCAGAGAGTGACATTGGTGTTGCCATTTGCCCAGTCACAGCCCCTACACCTAGCACTAACTAGCCCCATCCCTTAGTAGTACCATAATACTCTACTAGAGATACACAACTCGGGGTTTATATGTGATGTGCATTATAGCTTCCATCTTACATTCCTCCCTCCCTCCCCCCTCCCTCCCTCCCTCTCACTCTCCCAGGGTATACGCATCTTCCTGTCAAGTCTGGAGACCCACGCCAACCGCTACAAGCGCTACATCGTGCCTCTCCTCTCCTCTTGCATCGACTTCTACATCAGAGTCTTCGTCCAGGTCTTCACCAGTCCTTCCCAGGTCAAGAGATCACTCAGGTCTGCTGTCAATTACACCACAGAGGTTTCTATATAGTCAAGGCAATTCATTCTTGAAACTCAAATATTTTATCGCACAAAACGATTGCACGATGCGTTATACACACGCGAGAAATCTCGAAACCAGATTACAGATCTATTCCATTGACTGGAACCTTGCACGTGTAACACACACAAAGATAATCCCGATGACGCACATATATATAGTAATGTACGTATCCTTAATGTGATTCCTTTACGACCGTGCTACGTAGCTGCAGGGCCTACCCATATGTTATGTGTATATTTCTCTACTGTTGTGCAGCAAGAGGTCAATGATTTATGCTTGCTCTGGCTGTGACAGCCACCATCTCCAGCTTCTCGGGAAGAGATTGGAAGTTGGAGCTTCGTAAGTATCCCACCAAATTTAGAGCCGTCACAGTGTGAGTGTCATACTAGCCCCAAATGTGTAAGTTTGTGTCGACCTAATGCAAAAGACAACATTCAGTTTCAGTTTGTTTTGTGTGAAATATTGGTTGGTGCCGGCTTTGTACAAATCTTAGTGGGTGGGAGCGGATATGTGCAAGGTTTCCTAGGTTTACTACATGTGTGTGGTACTATGCTAGCCAATTGAGGGGTTTTTGTTTGTTGGTGCAGGAAGAAGTATCCAGCAGCCAGTGGCCCACCAGTGGACAGAACATGTGCTGAGTGTGGATCAACTTTCAAGGTTGGCACCACACCAGCTACACCAGCTACACCAGCTTCTTCGTATATCTTGTGGTGTGTATGTGTAAGCTACATACATTCTCGATCTCCCCTGCACTTCAGCTGGGTGGTCCCATCTGGTCAGAGCCCACAAACGACGTGGGGTTTGTTCGTAGTCTACTGGAGGAGCTGGAGACTCACAAACAGGACTACGAGCATGCTGCCAGGGTCAGGGGGTTACTTGCTGTCGTTTCAGAGGTACAGTTAGTCACAGATGCATGCATATTATACCTATGTATATACCTCTTATTATCCCCATTGCCCCTATTGTGAGTGTGTAAGTGAAAGATAAATAAACATGCGTGTAAGTGAAAGCTTATGTACTGACTCGCAATCTGACGTGGCTAAGGCTATGCATAGCTCTACTCGTGTTCAAAAAGAGGAGCTCCTTTGAAGTGTGTGTGTCAACAACGGCAAAGGCAATGCAAACAGCACGACCGCACCCGGGTTTTTCAAAGAAACAGAGCTGCCCTGCGAACCTACACTGCTCTACATTCGAGGCAGGGTGCTCTAGACCAGGGCAACTCAGCATTTTAAAAAGCAATGTATATATGCATAGGTTAATAGTCTCTATGTTTGATATTACAGGAATTACCAGACGTACCACTGCACTACACATTGGACCAGATCTGTAATACACTCCACTGCACTATGCCAAACATGCTAGCCCTTAGGTGAATCTCACTGGACTGTGTGTGACACTATAGTACCACGAACGAATTACGTCTCAATGTCTTTGTAGGCTTATAGTATCAAATTCCACACACTGAGTACATTTTAGTACCGTATGGTGTTTCCATGGTATGCTACAGGTCGGCCTTCATGGAGCAAGGCTACCGTATCTCCATATCTCACACTCATGCCAATGCTTTGAAGACGGACGCCCCCAACTCGGTCCTCTGGGACATTATGAGATGCTGGGTAAAGAGTATAATTTTATTACCCCCCAATTGATCCCCTTGATTGTTTTTGCCTAAAACTGCCAATGTTTAGTAGCTGTGTGTGTGTGTGACTGAATGCATGGCTCTGGTTGACTCCTGCAGGTAAAGATGAAACCAGTGAAAGTGAAGCCAACGTCACCAGCAGCTGTCATTCTGAGCAAAGAGCCAAAGTAGGCACATATTATACGTGGTTTTCTTTCACCACATAACGCACCGATGTAGTCTGGTGTTGTGGTTTGACACTTGTAGTAGTGCAAGGTCTGTATATACAGTTGCTTTAGAGTGGTGCGTGATGACCCCAATGAGGCAGCCACCCAGAGGTTGAGTGGTGTTAAAATTTAATTTGCCAAGCATGTGATGTGTATGTCAATTTGTACAAGTGTGGACATGTGATGTTCATAGTACAAATTGTTGTGCAATATTACTTGTTGGTTTGTGTTTTGTACGATTTTACTTAGTTTCACGTTGTTATGTTTGTGTGTGTATATCAGGATTGAGGCAAGTTTCTCTGTTCGGAAGGATGCCAACCCTCCGTCACGGATCCAGAAACTGGCGAGATTCCCTGAGAACCCAGAGCCCAACTGGGGACCAAAGGCCAGGGCCAAGAGAAAGTATACACCATATCTCTAGCACCATCCTTCCACAGACACATAATAATATGGTCTCTCCATTTTACTTTGTGTGTCTTTAGAGCTGGAACAGCAGCAGAGGATGACCAGAGTGAGTGTGAGGGATCGAAACGATCCAAGATACAGGACGAGAACACTGAGTAGAATTGTCATTGTCATTTTGTCTCACCATTTAGTGTGGATTTTAGTGGCACTGTCTCACTTGTGGGCCAGGAATCAAGGGCGCCTTAATTGTAAAGCGCGGGGGTGGAATTGCGCAAAAATAGCTTACCGGCTTTCTCCTTGTTAGGCAATACCGGCGTGCTCAAGCGCGGCCTGGTGTGCTATATATAGCAATGTAAATTACCTAATCTTACTCTTGGAGCGAGCGTCACCAATCCTGTGGCTTTCAAACCGGGCAACCGCTGGAGCAAAGAACAAGGGCCCTTGCCTTTTTCGAGGAGCAGTAGTCGACGAGAACAGATTGGGAAACCACTATCCAAACAGGAGAGAAATGGACGCCTGTTCTCTGTGCTGTAACGAGAGCCAGTCGTGGGCCGTGGGGCCGTGCGAGCACGCTACGTGTCTAGTGTGCAGCGTGAGACTCAGGGTCCTGTGTGACCAAAGAGACTGCCCCGTCTGTAGGGAGAAACTCAACAAAGTAAGAGTCGCTTCTGTACGTGGCAGTCTCTATTGCATATACTGTAGGGGCGGTACCGCTGCCGCTGCCGTTCTGTTTGGCGCCTTTGTCCCCCGCCCCCCCGCCCCGTACTTATTGCAGCTGCTATTACTGTCAACAGTGATTGAGGTGTGTAAAACATCTTGGTTTCCCCAGGTGGTAGTCTCTGACTCTATAAAGAGCTTCTCACTCCCCCCTCATGGATCCAAGGTGGACAGGAAGTACGGCTATCATTTCCACACCACTCAACTCTACGACCAGTACAAGTCACTCACGGCCTACTGCTGTAGCAAATGCCGCGACAAGTCGACGTTCGGGAGTTTTGCACTACTCCGCGACCACATGCGCAAGACCCACGGCCTCGTCTATTGCGACATTTGCTGCGAGAACCTCAAACTCTTTCCTTACGAGCTGCGACAGTACAGTAGACAGGAGCTGACTCGGCACCGCAGGGAAGGCGACCCAGATGCCACCAGCTACAAGGGACACCCACTCTGCCAGTTCTGCGACTATCGCTTCTTTGACAACGACGCGCTCCATTCCCACCTGCGTAAAGTCCACTTCTGGTGCCACTTCTGCGAGAGCGACGGGAAACAAGACTACTATGCCACGTATCTGCTCCTACGAAATCACTTCCGGGCGCAGCACTACCTGTGTGTCGAGGGAGCCTGCCAGCAGGAAAAGTTTACGTCTGTCTTCCGTACCAAGTTAGATCTCCAGGTGCACAGAGCCAAGGCCCACAGTAGAGGAGTCACGAAGGCAGAGGCTAAACAGATGCGGCAGCTGAACGTGGAGTTTTCATATGGCCGAGCCGAAGACCGAGGAGGAGGGGGCGGGGTTTATGTGGCTGCGTCTGGTGGGAGGGGCCAGTGGCAGAATGTCCCGCAGCGTGGTAGACATAATAAAACAAGGTCAGAATAGTGATTTGTGTGTTTGGGTTGGTGGGAAGTCGTAGAAGGAAGGCTGAGTTTGTGGCCTGATACAGGATGTTGCACATGCACATACATCATCCTGTGGTCTCTTTGTATTACCCATTCAACTCCTGCGGTCCATGTCCTGTTGGTTGGTATAGTAGTCACAGCAATCACTGATCTATGAGGTGCCATTGGAATTCATTTAGCACAGCCCACCTGACACCATACATCCCCACTAACACACTCTACACTTGTACAAGTTGTCCCCCCTCTCTTTCTCTTGCTCCCACAGGGATAAAGACTATGAGGATAAGGCCAGTGGTGCTGCCCCTACCTCAGCCAGTATCCAGTCTAAGCCCCAACAGCAGCAGAGGGACTCAAAGTCTCCACCAAACACTGGCAACTCGAGGAAACAGAGGACCCCTGATGCTGGGGGCCAGTACATGAGCGAGCAGCCCCCCAGAATGAAACAGAGACAGCAACACCAGACCCCTCGTCTCCAACCATCCACCACCACGAGTACTCCAAGTACTGAGACACTATCTAATACAACAGGCAACCCCAGTGACTCTAAAACCTCAACTGTAGCTTCTAAAACGGCCGCGACAAAGAAGACGGCTGCTGGTGCTTCTCAAGCTAAGAAACCACCAGGTTTTGAGAGCTCCCAGCCCACCAAGAGCCCTACAATGAACACTGACAGTGCCAGCGAATGGCCTGATCTTCTTGCTCTCAATATATCGCCACCAGAAGATGATTCAAAACAGGCTCCGACTCCAAAAATACAGCCTCCGCGTGGCAGTTATAATCCCCTGGAGCCCTCAAATTTCCCTCCCCTTAGCTTCTCCATCGTCTCCACCGCTAACAATAACTACGCCACCTCTGCACCACCAGCTCAGAGAAGCAGGGCAAGTTTAAGTGCTGCCGTTGCCTCGAATATACCTCCTGGATTTGTCAGCCCCCAGTGGCAGTTGATTCAACAAGACTCCATCTATAAATCTCCGTCGTCTTCTAACCTCCCGGTCCAGGGAACCGCGGGCAGTGTAGGATCAGGGGCCCTTCAACAGGGAGTCACTGAAGGCAGCGTTATAAGTATGGTGAGAGAAGCTCTCGGCAACGACCGCGAGAGGTTTAACTACTTTCGTAATCTCTCCGGATGGTACCGCAACTCGGAGATCACCGTCCAAGAGTACGTCCTACGATGCCGCGAGCTGTTTGGAGACTACCAGTGGATGCTGATAGGCCAAAAGTTGGCTCAGGTCATGCCCATCGAATGCAAACGCAACGAGCTTCTTCTGAACGTCTATGCAGGGATGACGCAGTTGCAACATCCCTCCGTTTCTCCGTCTGAGTACCACAACCAGTTACCGCCTTCAGCTCAACTGGTACTAATGAACACTAGTTCGACTGCTACGCCGCCCCCTATTCACGTCTCAAGGTCTGAACCGACTCTTTTGCAGACTAGCAGAGCTGCTAAATGGGGCATCATAACAAACAGGGGCGTCCCCAATTGGGAGAGTGAGTTGGAGTACCCCACTCTCCACCCCGGAGGAAGTTCTGCCGGACCTGGCCATGGTTGGATCAAAGCCAGGGTCCCCCCTGTCTGATTATATCGTCAGTATCACCTGACTGCTAAGAGCTTCAAGTTACTGTAGTGAGTAGTATAGCATTTTCTGACCTAATAGTTTTATATTTGCTGCTTTTAAACATGCATTGCTGTAGAACTACCAGTGCTGGTGGTATGTGTGCATTTAGTGATCGCTTGTATATATAATTTTACATTGTTTACATGACAGTGGGCTCTAAAAGGGATAAGGTGGTGGTGCAGTGGTAGTGGGGTAAGGGGCAGGCCCGGTGGGGTAAGGAGCTGGCCGTCCAGCAGCAGGATATGGTGTAGGACCAGTAGGGTAGCCACCGGGAGCAGCAGGTACAGGGTATTGACCAGCTGGTGGTCCGGTGGTGGGGTACCCTGGATATCCACTGGGTGGTTGGCCACTGGTAGTAGGTGGACCTGTGTATAGAATATAGCATGAAAAATAGTGGCTACTGTATGCAATATCTACTGCACAGCTGGTGAATGCTTTTGAACACGTCTCAATTTGTTAGTGCTTAATTTTCCCGGAAATTGCGCAGAGAGAGAAAACCCTAAGTATAGCAGCCCCAAGGATTACAGCTCAGTTCCAGATTGCTTGTCTCCCAGTCACTATACAATGAGCTAGAAACCAGTGGCTAATGTATATATAGATAGTGAAGGATATATACCTCCCCCAGGTGTGGATATGAAGACAGTGCTCTGTCTGTGACGCAGTGGAGGAGGATTCGGTCGAATATTCTGAGCCTTCATGAAGGATGTCAGTTGCTCTGGGATCTCAGCCAGCGTCTCGCGAGCCTGTGCACACACAAATCAGTGTTGACCAAGCAAGAATGCTGATCTTAATAATTGGTTAGTAAGTTGGCAATATAGTTATCTGAATTGTGCAATCTATTTGGTGACGACTCGTGACTTTGCCCATACTGGACAATTCACATGCACAAACATCACATATATACAGTGGCTTGATTTGCTTGCATTGCCACGCCTAACATGCATGTTCTTTAGGTTTGGACTCACCAGGGAGAAGTTAGCACCACTCTTTGAGCTGAGTTCTCTGAACGGAACAAACTGGACGATGTCTCTCTTCATCAACTCCCCACGTCTGCTCCTCAGAGGAGTATCGTCTGCGTCCAGCACTTCCTGCAACACCACACACACACACACACACACACACACACACACACACACACACACCGTATACTATTAATTAACCACACACAGCATCGTTTGAGGAGGAAAAAATAGTTACACATTGAGTACATGAAATCTACGTGTGTTAGAAACCCTTGGGTCCTTCACATATATAGCATCTTTGGAATGCCACAACGCAGGGGCCCTTTGGCTTCTAATGCACAAAGATTTCAATGACTCGCTGTCTAACTAGGTATATACCCCCATTTGTCAAATGCTACTGCAGTATTGTATGTAACTGAAGCTCACCATGTTTGTGAAGTCAGCACTGCCGACACCAACAATGACAATAGACAGAGGAAGGTTTGAGGCGTCCACAATCCGGTCCACTGTGTTGGCCATGTCAGTGATAACACCATCCTATCATAACACAGCAGGTTAATACACATTACTATAGCTGGAAGAAAAGTTGTGCACACATTCCAAGTCATGAATATTTTAGATGCTTCGTAACACATGAATACACAGTGGGAATTCACTCCCACTAAAAAACCCCCCTATCATAATTCACAGAGTCATTCTGGGGTATATACCAGCAATACAAGCATGGCATTCACTGCATTATTATCACAATCGCCAGCACTGCTTGTATATACACATGCAAACCTATACCACATGCCTGCACGTATATATTATAAACGTCACATTAACTCTGGTATGTATAATTATAAGTAAGATAGGGTTCAGTAGTATACTCACAGTGATGACGAGGAGGATGAAGTAGCTCTGCTTCTCCTGAGTGGTGGTCCCAACTGACACCTCAATGGCTCTGTCCAGGAACGAGGAGAAGTTGGTGGGACCGTAGAGCTGAACATGACTCAGAGAATAGCGATACACATCCAGGATCCCCTGCGGGGTAGTATATACGTAGTAACACAATCATGACATCTGCAGTCTACTGCCATAGCTAATGTGTCCAGTGCAGTTGTTTGGACTGTCCTCCCTTCCACATGTGTGCTAAAAGTACGAAGAGTTTGGGCCCTTTCCCTATTCACTGCACCATCCCATAGAGCCTAGGTACGAAAAGCTCAGACCCCTCCTCTCATTTTCACAATTTATCCTGATGAGTAATTGCACTGCACCCTACTGCTATAGCTAATGCTTTCGGCATGGTCGTTTGGATTATCTTTCCTCCCACTTGCATGCTAAAAGTACGAACAGTTTAGGCCTACCCTCACTATTTTCCACAATCACTCCTGATGTATAGTTGCACCGCTCTCTCCAGCTTTATTCAGGGTATTCAAGATGAATTGTCCTTACCTAGCCAGTTTCACTATGTTATGGCACCCTCTCAGTCACTATGCTAAGCTAGGGGTTAAATCTTATCTGGCATTCCCATGCAATGCTGCTCCAAGTGTTTGCATGTGTCAACAGCAAAGGTCTCTAGGATAAGGCAAAGCATACCTGTACACCATAGACCTCAGGGTTGCTCTCGTTAAAGTTGAGGGGGAAGCAGTGAGAGACTCGGCCGTCGGGAGGCAGGCGAGCTCCAAACCCATAGACCGGGATCATCTGGTCACTGTCGTACGGGGCCAGAACACTCGCCACCGCTCTTATGGCCTGCTGGTACTCATTGTCCTGCATATCAGCAAAACAATGTGTCAAACACGTATTATATATACCACAAAAGGATCGGTTTCTAGCAATTACATGCTAGCAGTAGTTGTATGCATATTCACGCACACAGTGTGATATTGTACCACAATACACATCAGTTCTGGCCAATGAACAATACAGTCATTCCAGTACAGTATATACATGGTGATTCCACACATTCTTACTCTCTGTGCTCCAAGGTAGTGAAGAGATTGTGGATGGTCTTGCTTTCCATTAGAGGCCTAATTAGAGGGGGAGAAGGGGATGATGATGATTGGGACCTGATTTACAGGGAGCTCACGGTGAAGTCGATGGCCACCATGAGATTGATTTCACAGCCTCCGCGAATGTAGTCAGTGAAAGTGTGCAGAGGAATTGCCCTGTTGAGTGGGACAAGAAATTACACACACAAGATTATAGAAGAATAAAAACTGTAGAACAATGTACAAGATTTGGTAACCCACATTTCCCTAAATGATGCCCCCCAAAGTTCGTACACACAACTACTAGTGCACTCACTGAACAGTGAGGAAATGAAGGACACCAGAATTGACGTATTTCTTCTTTCGTTTCTTCATCTCTGGATTGACAAGGTCGAGATTGAACACTGTCCCCCCTCTGTAAAACAGGACATTTCAAGAATATCAACAAGAGGCTCGGACTCATCAGTCACATGCACACTCTAACCATGTTCTACATACACATATGTGAAGAAAACTATGTACCTTTCAGGAGTGATCTCTTTGAGTGTGATATTTGCTGAGCCTATGAGTTCGTGATCTCCTGACCTACAACACACACAAGAAAAAACTTTGGTAAATTCCCATTGACATCTCTAACTATAGCCATGCACTGACATACTCATAGCACGCATACAAGTTCACTTGTGTAATCAATCTCTAGTTTTAAGTCCTAGTGTGTGGAGGGGGAAGGCAGGTAGGCAGCCAACTCTAGCTAGAGATCTGACCTGTTCCAGTCCCAGACTGAAAATCTCAGGTCACGCTCCCAGTCTCCACTGCACAGCTTCTGTATGGGTAGCTCAAATCGAGGCCACCTGTATACAATACACGTACCAGAAACACCAATCACATTAATGTATATACAAGTGAATGTGAGCCCACTGCATTGCAAATTATTCTAGTAGGATAGGTATCTACTATACAAAACGGTGCAGTCTACCTCTGAACTCTTGTTGGCTCACCGAAGTAAATTAGATTAGCAACAGACACACAAACGCGTTTACGTGTTTTCCACAATCCTTTGATTCAGGCTCAATGTACTACTACATGGGGGGTGAGGACTTACTTTGGGTCCAGGGTTTTCGCTATGTGTTGAGATCTGTAGACAACGGTGTAGCCACCTCCTTCCTGAACCTTGCTAATCTCCACAAATGGATCAGACTGAAGCCAAACGGGGAGAAAAAATGAGTGTGCAATTTTACAATGAGGTCAGAGTACAATGTATCATAGGATGTGGGAACTGGAACTTGCACTGTCATATTTGGGACTATACTAATTGAACTATGCTCCCAAAGCAGGAAATGACCATCACATGATGCTATGGATGCCTGTGTATTCACTCACCTTCCCAAAGAAGTCTTTCTTGTCCAGTTTGCTGGCAGAGAGCTGCAGTATAGTGGAGAACTTGGAGTCTGCAACCTCTTCTGTCTGTAGCCTGATTTTACCTCGAGGGGCCCCTGCATGCATTACATATCTATAGCACTATGTAACCGTAACACACTTTAAACGTGACACAATTATACTAAACAGAAAGTTGGTAAAAGGCATAAAGATGGGCTTTTTGAGCTACCAATGCTCTAGTGCACCAGTGTTCATATAAACCTAAGCAGAGGTGAATATTGCCTCTCTCACCGTTCAGTCTGAGTGTACGTTCATACTGCTGTCCTGCGGTGACCAAATCAGCCAGTGCACACTCCAGCCCTCCGATCATGTCGTGTCTGGCAATTTCGTCAATCTTGGACCTGTCGTCCACGTCCACCACCACAAACTTGAGCTTCTGAATCTCCTCGAACCGATACTGCAGCTGGAACGCCTTGCTGAACTGCACACGACAGGGAGAGAATAGAGTGGTTGTTATTACAGGAGCAGCCCCACCTACAAACTTTATGCAAACTGAACTAGGCTTACTTTTGGATTCAGGTTGTTATCGATGACCTCCGTCCGCCCGACCCTGGCCCAGCTCCTGTTGAGGTACTCGAAGAGGAAGACGCACGGATCGCTCTTGGAGAAATAGTCGAGGTCTTTCAGGTTCTGACAGGACACGGTTACCTCCACTCTGGAGGCCGCCTCTCCGCTCCCGAACGTCGGGGGACTTGCCATGTCTTATATGTCGGCTCTGCAGCTTACCAAACAAACGCTCGAGATTAGGGGAACCAAACTCGAAATGACCAAAATTCACTGCAGCCGTCACCGTTTATAGCTACGGGTGGGCATTTATTGGGAAAACGAACGGATACGCCCAGCGAGTTGTTTATTGCGTCATCATGTAACAGGTAATTCAAAATGGGGGAGAGTTTTGAAGGAAAAGACAACACAAAAGGGTTTCACAGGCAAAATGAGAAGTGAGCACACAGTAATAGGGAAGATCTGTATAACATGACTCTGTCCACATAGCGTCTATACATAAAAACATAACGGGGAATAGGATGGTAAGTTTGTCAAGGTGTCAAATCAGGCCCTCTCCCCACGGATTCTCCTTGCCAGCTGAATGTCCTTGGGCATGATGGTCACTCGCTTGGCATGAATTGCACAGAGATTAGTGTCCTCAAAAAGTCCCACCAAATAAGCCTCAGATGCCTCCTGAAAGGGAGAGAAACGAGAGGTAAAGGAGGGGAAACAAAGATACACAACTAGGCCCGAGATTTACGAGTGGGAAAAGTGGGCGAGAGGGAGTCACACACGTACCTGAAGGGCACCAATGGCGGCGCTCTGGAATCGAAGGTCCGTCTTGAAGTCCTGAGCAATCTCACGGACAAGGCGTTGGAATGGAAGCTTCCTGATAAGGAGCTCAGTGGATTTCTGGTAACGCCTGATCTCACGGAGGGCCACGGTACCAGGCTTGTAACGGTGAGGCTTTTTGACTCCTCCGGTGGACGGGGCGCTCTTTCTGGCGGCTTTGGTGGCCAGTTGCTTCCTGGGAGCCTTTCCTCCAGTGGACTTACGGGCGGTCTGCTTTGTACGGGCCATGATTAGCGACGACTGCGACAGAAACTGACTCTCTCGTTTGTGAAAACTTCACCACGGTCCGACCGTCGCCAAATTTTATGCGCTTCCCGCAACATGATTACAATTTTAGAAATACCGTCTTTTGATTGGTCCAAAATCTCGAATCTGATTGGTCAGGCACGAAGTGCAAAGGTCAGTTGTGATCCTGTCTGCCGCTCAAGCTCTACGTTACCGTATATCCTTTCAAATATTGCCTTATTTAGCAAAACACTGGGAAATTTTAAAATATGTTGAGTCGTCCACAAGTTAAGTACGTGCGGCTCGATCAGAAGATGGGGTCTAGGGCTTTTGCACTTATTTTCCAACCCAGGAGCTTGTGTTTCGTTCGATTCTACGCTGCTGACGTTGTAATAAGGAGGAGTCTTCACTGCACGACCTTTTTACCAACCAGAGACACTGATGATAGTGGCCAACAGGCGAACCAGCTATCTCGTCCAGGGGAGCACGCACATCAAAGTGTCGGTAGCTCCACGTACGGTGCCCTAATGGACTCTGCAAAGACCCAGTCCCAGTTGTCCAACAGAGAACAGTTTGCTCTGGTTCTAAAAGAATTCATGTCGCGGGAAAAGTACAGAAAGGGCCACGTCTCCTTCATCAACATGGCACTGACGAGAATGGAAGAATTTGAACTCGAAAGAGACCTACTCACTTACAATAGAATTCTTGACGTGTTCCCAAAGGGTCGCTACAAGCCAAAGCGACTCCTCGATGCGCTCTGGCCTCGTCCCTTGCCTCAGACGGAACTAGCTCTGGAGCTGCTCACGAGAATGGAGGACAACAATGTATGGCCTGACGACGTCACCTACAGTCTCCTAGTGGAGGTGTTTGGGAGGCACAGTCTCCCGGTGGACAAGTGTGAGCGGATGTCCTACTGGTACAGTCGCTACAGGGACTCGGACCCATTCTGGATTGAGGGAGAAGTACCTAGTGATCCTGCTGAATTGTCCAGACTTGCCTTGAGAAGAATTGTCTCTAATGATGACATTGTTGAATACGAGGTATATATAATATAAACATCCTAATTCATCAGTCAGTGAAGTACATACAAGGCACTTTTTGCCAGAACATATATAGGCAGGCGTACACATTTGCATGCGAAATTTTGTGCATGTGCATTGGAAAGTTGATCATTGTTACACACAAAGTGGGATACTTTTTGTAGATGTCATTGGGTGATGAGGGGTTCATAGTGAGTGGTCACAGTGAGACTCAGCTGCAGCTACTGCACCGACTGAGATGTGAGGAGTCCAGACTCCTCCACGTGGAGGGTCCTCATCGGATCTGGATCAATAAATCCTCCGTCCACTACTTCTCACTGAGACTGGCTCCCACTGATGACACCAGGCAGACCGATGAAGGTACTATATTATCTATACCTTGATTGTAAGGTGCACTATTCTCATAATATGTGGTCTGTGATAAAGAGCCTTGAGTATAGTGCGTGTCTATAACCACTTTGATTTCTTGAAAAGTTGCTCAAATTGTGGAACTTATAGGACCAGAAATAGCTAAATAGCTTCACATTATTCTTCTACCAAACTGGTAGTAGAAATAGTCTAATGCAGAAATTTGTTTGTCAACAGGTGCAGTCGTAGCAGTGTGTGCGTGCCAGCCGGCAACTCAGAGCTCTCTCCAGTGGTGGATCAGGGAACTGCAGATAGTCCACCCTCAGCTAACTCATGCTACCATCCTGTACAACATTAGGACACAGGAGAGCTCTTCTCCACTGTTAGATGGTAGTAAAAGCACGTTATTAGCGACCACTGTAGAAGAACAGTCAACTTGATGATGTTCTCTGCACTGTTTGCGCATGCGCGTCTTTATCGTATAAAAGAGAATCCGCGACCACGTGTTTTTCCTATTTGGAGCCCCTACCGTGGCATTGTGAAGTTTGGTAAGTCCTCTCTCTTTTGCGAGACGTACGCCGTAACTACGTACTGTAGCATCTGGCTTTTGAGGTGTGTATATCATCTATTGAGGCACCTGTTGGATAGCTATACCCAGTTTTATCGGCCATCTCCCCCACGTGCTCTCCTCTCTCGTGCAGTTTGTTCTCCCGTAACTCTTACTGAACGGCAAAATTCACCATGTCTGGGGGACTAGAAGCCCTGGCAATGAAGGAGGACGACGTCAAGAAGATGCTGGCGGCCGGGACGCACCTCGGAGACGCCAATGTCCACTTCCAGATGTCCCTCTATGTCTATAAGACGAAAGCAGACGGTGAGCGGTCCGTGAATGTTTGCTGTGTACCGCTAAAAGCGTGCTTTCGATGAACTGAAAAGGCCATTACATAGCCAACTTGATAGCTAGCAAACAGTATCGTAACCTCAGCAGCAAAAGACAAGCAACTGAGGCTTTTGTTTATGCTATCATGCAAGGGCAAGTTTTTGAAAAGGTTGCCTCGTGCATTGGGATTAGACCCGGCAAATGGTACTGCTGTAACTGTGTGTTTGTGTGTGTGCAGGAACTCCAATCTTCAACCTGCGGAAGACGTGGGAGAAGATCCTGCTGGCTGCCAGAGTCATTGCGGCCATTGAGAACCCCAGCGATGTGTGCGTCCTCTCCAACAGGTCCTACGGACAGGTATATACAAATTAACAGGTTATCACCCGCGATGATTTGGTGATGCTTTGTTGCAGAGGGCCATCTTGAAGTTTGCCCACCACACTGGAGCCAACCCCATCGCCGGCAGGTTCACTCCCGGAACATTCACCAATCAGATCCAGAAGGCTTTTCGCGAGCCACGCCTTCTCGTTGTGACTGACCCATCCACCGACCACCAGGTATATACAGTATACGGTAAACCTCTGAAAGGACTCCATATAGAGCACATCCGGCATGATAGCTTTCAGAGGTCATGTATATACAGTAAGTGCTCTCTGTCATAGTTTTGTGATTGCTCCACAGGCTGTGACGGAGGCATCCTACGTCAACATCCCTGTGATTGCCTTCTGCAACACCAACTCTCCACTTCGCTACATCGACATTGCCATCCCCTGCAACAACCTTGTATGCTAACAAACCACTGTCTCCACCAGTTAACCCTCTCTCTCTCTCCTACTCATACATTGTCTTTTATGCACGAGTGTGTGGTATTGTTCCTCAGGGAAAAAACTCGCTGGGTCTGATGTGGTGGTTTCTGTGTCGCGAGGTTCTTCGCCTCAGAGGCTCAATCTCGAGGGAGCTTCCCTGGGATATCATGCCCGACCTCTTCTTCTACAGGGACCCAGAAGAGGTACATACCCTAGCCCTAGCCCTATATATACCTATGGCTGGTATGCTATGAACTATAATTTCATACACTGTCTTGTGCATACTTTATGATGGGAATCGTTTGAGGGAGACACAATTCACCAGTGAAAGCAAACACAATTTTGTGGAGAAAACATTTGCATAACAAAGTTTCACTGTGGTATCTTCAAAATTAGCCCCAAAAATATCTCTGTTGAATGTTTCTTGGTACAAGTGGAAAAATCATTTCTTCAAAATGAAAGGGGGATATAGGGATGGCTTGAAGCACCAAAAAGGAAGAAACAAGGGGTCATTACACAGCAAAGTTGCACAAAGCTACATGACACCATCCCTATATCTTTGTTTTATTGTTTATAAGCAAAGTTTCCCTTGAGCTAAGTATACATGCAAGACAACCTCTATTACAGAGCCGTATATATAACAACAAAGATATAGGGATGGTGTCATGTAGCTTTGTGCAACTTTGCTGTGTAATGACCCCTTGTTTCTTCCTTTTTGGTGCTTCAAGCCATCCCTATATCCCCCTTTCATTTTGAAGAAATGATTTTTCCACTTGTTTCCACTATTTTTAACAGCTTCTGGCAACACTGCATTATTGTTACAGTCACTCTGATGTTCATGGCTATGTTGTAGATAGGCTACCATAGACAAATTGAAAGTAGTAGCTAATGGCTGCTAGATACCATGTATTGTCTTCAACAAGGATGTAATTAGATTATTGCACATGGTTGTGGTTTCATTGGCAGGCTTTGGTAATCAGGCTACAACCTGGGGGGACAAACAATGAAGGCCCATTTGACTGAGTGCCCCGCAAGGCTCGCGTAACACCGCGCAGACTCTGGCAAGTTGCTCTTCGTGCATATCAACAGCAAGATAGCCAGTTGGAAATGTGCACACCTTACTTACAGAAGGTACTGGAGGCTGACAGTTCCTCTGCAGGTCTGCCAACTCGCCCGGTAGAATACGCTCGCAAGCACATTGGACAACGCCCCTGCCTGGCGCATGCGCGCGGATCACTGATGCTGAGTAAGCAGCAAATGGCGTTGTTCAGGTCGACCAGGGAAGAGCTCCATGATCTACCGTAGTGACTAGCGGCAAGAAAGAAACGATCGCTTGATGTCCGTGCACACCTCCGGCGAAATTGGAGACCTTCAGTGAAAAAATCAGTGCTTGAACTGGTACTGGTAAGGAGATAGCGGGTTTAAAGAAGAAGAAGAAGAAGAAGATGAAGAATATGATGACACGAAAATCGTGAAATCGCGTAAGAGCGAATTCTCGCGTGGACGACTGAAGGTGCGTATGAGCTCTTGGGGGACATGTATAGGTAGATATGGGCCCGTAGACTATTGCTAGTATGTTTTGAAGGCCTAGGAAGTGATTCTCACCGAGTTTTTAGTCGTTTTGTATGCGGATCACGTGAGATTTCACCCGTGTCATCCCTATATAGAGAGTCTACCGACTCTCTAATACTGAGGACTGTGTGTGTATGTTGGCAGTAGCTAATGTTGCATACTGTACTGTTGTGGTAGGTGGAGAAGGAGGAGCAGGCAAAGCGAGAGGCTGAAGAAGCACAGGCTCTGGCACAGCAGACCACTGAACAGTGGTCCGCTGCCGTTCCTTCAACTGAGGTGACGACTGATGCAGCTGCAGGGCAGTGGGACGCTGGCGGAGACGTAAGCAACTTGTATTATACTATCCACAATTTGACATTTCATTACTACTGTTGGTGGAACCTCTGAATAATGGACACATGGGGAGCAGGCATTTTGTCCTTTTTTATATAGAGAGCTTGTCTACTTTTTGGAGGTTAAAATCTACTATATAGAGCAATGGGAAAGTGAACATTACGACCTCAAAGTGTTTCCTGTATATTATATTCGTTTTTTTCCTATTGTGTCATTTATTGGGAGTGTCCTTATCTACGGTATACAGTGGGGAGCAGCTCCAATGGCGGCATCGCAGGTGACTCCCGCTGCTGCACCAGTGGGTGGTCCAACACCAGCAGCACCAGCAGGGTTCACTGCCCCTAGCGGGACCACCGACCAGGACTGGAACATGGCCGGAGGAACCACCACTGACTGGGGTGCCGAGGATGGCGGAGACTGGGGCAGCACCGAGCCAAAGGTCAGCTCTTCTTGAGCCGCCCGTTTCCTTGCTTGTGTTTGATACATATAATTATATCTTCTCCCTTTTCCTTTCTTACTCTATTTCTCTTTACCTTTCTTCTTCCTCCATTCACCCACCCACCCCGACTCTTTCTCACTGCAGGCTACCGCTGGGAACTGGTGAAACGTCTTAGATTGTGACTTAATTTTTTGCTGTATGAAATAGGTTGAGAGCTGTAACATCTCCGGTACAATGCTATGTTTGAGGATAAGATGTGATGTAGCGTTAATCTTCAGCTCTTGTCTCCACTGCCGTTGTCTAGATCTGTAGACAGTAAAGATAGAGCACGGTAGGGGTATATTGTAGCTATGGAGATGGGGCTTGCAGGGATACCTGTGGGTTGCTGGACGACAGTAGGCGGCGTAAAAACAGATTTGTCGCTCGTAGTTTCTTCTCTGATAAACCCCAGGTAGACGAGTGCTGCAAACGTGACTAGCCCTAGAGGGATGGCGTATCTACCCCTCTTCTGTTCCACCGGCCCGGTCATTATGGAGTCGTCCACTATTCGGAAGGTTCTTGCTCCGCTCCGGCTGAACGAAATGGGATCGTCAGACTTTTTGAAGGCTAGCCATCTCCTCCCGCACGGTCTAGCGGTACGCCGAGCAGCATCGAGCGAGAGTGTAGGCTGCAGCCTACAGAAGATAAGGGAGCTGCGCATCTCCCAAACCACGCCTCTCAGACCACGCGAAGGAGCGCATGCGCACTTGGCCGCAACACTCGCGGCCGCGGTGCCGGTGCTATCACGGCGGCTTCTATAGTAAGAGTGGTTTTCCGCCTTCTGGTATACTACGTCGCAATTGTTTTGCCGAGAGAGTTCCGCGAGATGACTATGCGCCCCGGCATTTCCCCCCAAAATATTGCTGTGTAATAGTGCGCGTGCAACAAGTAGATAGGTCGTAGCTAGGCAGAAAAATGATTCTCCTCTTCATATCTTGGCTTGCAACGACATCCCTCTCGCAGACGTTCAGTTTCGATATCCTGGTTACTGTACCTGCCAACTCCACTACTGACGACGGCATACAAACAGCGCCCATCCTGCGACAAAGCTGGCAGAATGGCGAAGAAATACTCTCGAGTGCAAATCGCGCACTGCACAACCTACATCATCAATGTTTTCCCTTCAACATCAGCGTGACTCAACTGCGAACGGACTGCAAGTTGACGCACGGCCCTCTGGTCCAGACGATACAACAACTTACTTCACCTGAACGACTAACTATCGCGGTACTGGGGGTTTTCTGTAAGCCCATACTTCATGAACTGTTAGGGATCACCGAACGTGGTCACCTAGGATTGGAAACGATTGCGTTGACTCCATTCCTACCGGAGAGAAAGCAAAGCAACTATCACCAAGTGTTTCCTACCAGCCGGGAATACGCTCAAATACTAGCAGAGTTCATAGTGTATGTCAGGTGGTCTCAAATAGTAATCGTAACACTTGTCGACAGGACCAGTTTTTACCTCGAGGCAGCTGAGCAGATAGTAGCAATTCTGACTAATAGGGAGATTGTCGCCAATGTGATCGCTAAAGGTGGCAAAGAGCAAGTAGTAAGAGCAATACATGCCACAGGACTGACCCAAATCTACGTCCTACTGCCACCAGGCGAGGCCATTTCTCTTATCTGTAGTGCGTATGACTATGGTCTTCGGTGGCCGGACTATGGATGGCTTGTCCCAGACATAAGTCTAGAAGATGTCACCTATGCAGTTGCAAACACCAAGCCTTGCGATCCAAAGTCAGCAGACGGCATTGTTTCATTTCAGATAACAAAAACCACTGGTTCTACTCTAAGAAACATCACATGTTCCAACCATTTAGACACACAAGAATGGGAGAACATTTTTGCAAGAGCAATGTATGAATGGATCCACACAATTCATTATGCTGTTAACAATTCCTTCCCTGAAATCAAGCATTATTTGAAACAGGCTGGTGGGAAGCTCACTGCTCAGAAAGGAGTTGCAGAGTTAATCGGAAAAGCCCTGGAGGAAGGCTCCAGTTCTGGTGAACTTGGGGATAAGTTTTTCGGGAGAATTGGTGTTTATCAGAAAATCAAAGGTTTAGCGACCCAACTTGCAGTTTATAATTCCCACGAGAACATTACAGTGTTTGAACACTTTTCTGCGTTTTCTTTACCAACTGGAACGCTCAAACATGTTTACAGAATCTTGCCACGTCATGTTGATGCTATACTAACTACTGGTCTTGCGGCCTGTGCACTGTTCATCTTTCTGAACATGTGCCTCTACATCGCTTATCGCAAGGCTCCCGAAATGAAAGCATCAAGCGTCGGGATATCTATGATGATTTACATCAGCTGCTATGTCATTTGTATTGGTTGTGGGATCGACCTAAAGACCAGCACTTACATTGTGACACACGAGTCCCTCATCTGTACTGGCATGACATGGGCCATATTCCCATGGAGTGACATTATCCTGGCCACACTTTTGGTACAGATTGGAAGGATCTACCACATATTCAGCCAGTTTAGGAGGATCAAAAAATTAGCACGCGACAGAAACTTGCTAGTGGTGATATGCTTCATCGTTTTTGGGAAAATCTTCCTCCTGTCACTCTGGACGGCCTTAGACCCATTCATAATCATAGACGTTGAAGTTTACCACCCTGAAGAAAAGCCCCCTTACTATGAAGTCATACAACACTGTCACAGTAACCACTTTGTCGTCTGGATCGGCATTACGATAACCTACACTGCAATTCTAATCGGTTTTCTGGCCTTTGTGTCGTACAAGACTAGAAAGATTCGCCGCAAGGACTTTAAAAACACCAAGAAAATAAACGTCCTCCTATCGGTGGTGGTGATATCAATGGCCGTCCTACTACCGCTGTGGTGGGTTTTCCGCAGTGTGGGAAATACGGTCATGAGCCGTGTGGTCATAGTCTCTCTCTACCTGATCATACCCATGTCCTGCCAGGTATATATAGCTATCCACAATAAGAGGGAACTTTCCACACCAAACAGCCTAGCCTCCATTCCAAAGGGATTAAAGGGAAGGAGAAATGTTACTATAAATCGAAACATAATTGCATTCTTGCACTAGGCCCCTAGTGTTCTTTATAAATTTAGCAATTTAATATACTGTCACATTGCATTTAACAAAAGTCACTGAAGGTGTCTTTGCAGAAGATTTGAATAAGCCTCATGCCCTGAAGCAATAACCTTGATACAATTAGAGGTTTGTAATTCTTTACTAAAACCCTGCAGGTGTGCCTCTTCTGTCCAAAGACACTCCCACCTCTGATGAGAAGCGTGTCGCAATGCCTCTGTAAGAAGAGGCACGTCAACAGAGAGAGGAGAAAGTCAAGGGAGAGAATCCTGTTTCTCCAGAAACCAGACCCGTCTCAGCTCTCTCTCACCCTATCACATCAGAGCACGCTAACCACTATAGATTCCTCCCTACTTGTTCCATAGCTGGATTTTCTATGGTTTTTTGCTTTCAGTCGAGCTCAATTGTGGATTTAACAACACTTGGATACAGGGCCTTTAAACACTTTCCCATGTATAACAAATGTCACAATCACCTGAATGAGAAGCTCGTAGGTATTTCATTAAATACAGAACCGCCACAACTTCGGCATATACCTTTGTCTGATTACAGTGATGATAACCAGCAGATTCTTTTAAAAAAGCTCATAAAAGTAATCGAGTCCTTGTCCTATCTCCCAGATGGAGATACCAGTTCCCAGCTCCTGGGCTAGTCTCAGTCGATCCTGGATTGACTGCAAGGAGAGATAGATCCTCCTCACTATATATGCCTTCACTACATTATGCATAAGACAGTGAATCAAGCTGTAGACTGTATAGACTGCATTGTGAACACCTTAGCTCCATGTATATCTAAATTCACTCACAATTTCATGCAGTAACTAAACCTGTAGCTAAAGGGGTTTACTTTGAGTGTTGGGTAGTAGACTTCATGTTGCTGGCTTTTGTATCTGTGGAAAACATTTTCCTCTTTTTAATACACCCATTTTGCTTGAGTTACGATGACATATACTGTATGAGTTACAGTGACCATGTTTGCATCTGAAGTAGTGGCTCAATGATGACCGCAGTACATTTTTTCATGCTGGAGATAGACGCTAAGAAATAAGAGTGCTAGTCTAAAAAGAAACTCTGTCAGTGAAGAACTTCATGTAGTCACATAAGTACGTATGTAGTCACATATCATGTAGGTCTCACTTGTACTTGAAGTAGTGTTCTGCACAGTCGCTGTCCCACTTGATTTTTGGTTTTTGCTCCCTTAGTAACTCAATATACCTTCAGACAATAATAATCATACGTATGATACACATGCAAGGACAAATCTAGCTATATATACCTGTGTCCAACAATTGCTAGAAGTGAAATAAGATAAAGTTATAGTTGCTGCACTGCTGTCAGTATATAGAGTTGCTCACGGTCCATTCCAGAACTGGTGAAGTCATAACCGTAGAAGTTTAGGCCGAGCAGTATCTTTTGTCTGAGAGGAGATGGCTGGTGAGACAGTCCCACTGCACATCCTTCCATCCACTCAATGGGAGCAGTAGGACCTGGACTGTATATGATGACACCATATACCTCTCCTCATATCAACCAATGCTGACTATCTACATTGGAGACACATGAGTGGAATCCAAAAGTATGGTAATAAAAGGGAGATGCGAGTCTTACCTCCCTGGACTGGAATAGTCATAGGTCATGAGACTAAAGCCATCCACATGTGGAGCCAGCCTATCGAAATCTGACTGACCAAAGAGGGATCTAAACAGGGAGACAGGAATTGTATTGCATCAGTCCATTCAACTTGAGCTGCTTAGTCCCTGAGTAGCTCACCCTCTCTTGGCTGCTGGGATCACCAGGATGAGCTCCAGGCCCACTGCATGCAAACTATTTGCCAGCGCCTTCACTAAGTGGGTCAGCTCACTGCAGCATAGTTGATAATACTCTGTTCACAGGGCACTACATTGGCATTTGATTGAGGAAACGACTGTGCTAGTATAGTAAGAAGAGGCACCTATTGAATCGGCCACCAAGCTGACTCCACACCTCCAGAACCATTCCATCAAACTTGTGCTTCTGCAAGTGTAAGAACAACCTCCACATGAAAGCTTCAAGGCAACTTAATGGCAGCATAACAGCACACCAAATACTGATGCAGTGTGTCGAAAAATGTAATGGTTTGGTGTTAGGCACTCGATCTTCCAGCGTTTTGTCCTCCCTAAAGCAACAAAACTAACCTTACCTGCAAGTTCTGTGCAGCAAACTCAGCCACTCGTGCCATGTTTGCTTCGCTGGCAAACACCTCCTGGAAATCAGCCATCGTCCATCCTTCCAGCAGAACCCTGGGCACTATCTTCACCCCACTTCCTGCCCTCCTTACGTCCGACACCCACCCTGTCAGTGGTAGAATCACACGAGATATGGAGCACTGAACAGCCGTTTAGGTGGATTTTCAGCAGAGCATACAGAAATAGATACTAGGTACCTTCTCTTAGCAATTACAGCAACACTTTGTGTGCTAACCTTGGTCTATGTCATGTGTTCCTTCCATAGCCAGTCCAATTCCATGCCTGAATAGAACCACACAGTGATACTAGCTGTATGATGCCAACACTTACAAAGAACTACAAAGATGTACCTGCGCGTCAGTTGGAGCCAAACAGGAGATATGTGGGTGAATTTCCTCGCAAACATCTTAGCAATGTCGTAACCGTGACTATTCCACTGAAGAAGCATATATTACACACTCACACACAGACACAGAAACTATAGTTCGAGTGTAACTTACAGGGGTCACGTATCCGAGAACCATGGCTCCATCCATCATGTCTCTAGTGTGCTGTTGGTTGGAGGAATACAGGTGGTGGTTGTTTACAATCTCTTTCCACTTGGGGCTACTGGTCACCAGCTCACGTTCCTCCACACTCTCTGCAGGTAGCTCCTCTGATACATCCTATCCAGTGGAGAAAATAAAAGTCGTGGTAAAAAACATGGACAGGAGAATACTTTGCTCTTGCTCTTCTTGTCTTTCTTGTCACGTTTGCTGAGGGTACATTTTGCACCAGAGGCCAGCATTAGCAGGACGAATAGCACAACGACTCCTTTGCACAGCCTCATCTTTCTCTAGCTATCCTTGCAAACTCACTAGCAAACTCTTTGCTCCAATTGACGCGCAGCTGATATCTAAATAAAGCGCACCATAAGGGCAATGGGTATGCAGCTCTGCAGCTGCTCAAGGCAACTTTCCCTGCTTTACAGCGTAAGTATCTACTTTCTGCTGGTCCTAATACCGCAAACCCTGTGGCTACACAGCAAGAGTCTCGTTGTAAACGACGTGCTATGTGAAACCTGCTCCGTTCTTCTGCCTGGAGTGGCGACCGCGCAGTCGGACGGACCCGTGGATAAAATGTCAGTCAACCTAACGTACGTTTACGAGCAGGTATGCAGTGGTACGTGCACGTTCAAGGACAACGCGGACTCTCAGGGGAGGTTTTTGGAAGAAGAGAGCACAAGTGAGATGTTTGAGGTGATGGCTGAGCTTGAATGTGGCAGTGGTGGAGGTTGGAGCATCTCTCACGACCTGTCTGACCTCACAGGACCCTGCAACATTGAGAGGAGGAACGTCGGGACACTATCACAGCTGGAGTTTCTTGAAAAGTTCTCGGAGACTCGACCGGTGATTCTGGAGGGTGTCCCTCCTCAAACGAGGTTCAAACGAGCCTCGACAAAGTGGAGACTGTTGGCAGACTACGGACCGGACCTGATCACAGTGGCAACGGCCAACACACACTCCTACACCAAGACCCAGATGACGCTATGTGACTACGTATCCCACCACGTGAGACCTCAGTCACCACACGCTCTCGGGAACGAAACTTTCTATCATTTCGGAGACAACGACCGAGAGAGATGGTCTCCACTGTTCTCGCTCTACCAACTACCCCCCTACACCCTACCGGGGATGGAACCAGTTTTGAGTTTCGGGTTGGCTGGCCCAGGGACCGGTGTCCCATTCCACATTCACGGCCCGACATTTGCAGAGACGATATTCGGCCGTAAGCGGTGGTTCCTCTATCCTCCCGATGAGAGCCCTGAATTTGATCCTGACGAGTCAACCCTTCGCTGGGTGACCCACACTCTCCCCTCCCTCCCAGCCCACCTCACCCCGCTCCAGTGTACCCTCAGTCCTGGAGAGGTGAGCTGTTTATATACCTGCATGCATCCATACTGTATACACCTCTTGTTCCTTTCTCACATGAACTGAGATGATGCTAAACTAGAACCCCAATAATAAGCCCACTTTCAACCAAGACTTGGAGCTTTTGAATTTTTGTTCTGCAGGTTTTGTATTTCCCAGAACGCTGGTGGCACGCCACTCTAAATGTAGACTCCACTGTCTTCATGTCAACATTTCTGGCATAGCATAATCATTAATTTCATTGATCTTCACCTTGTATCATACAGTCTGGTTCAATTGGTTCAGTCAGGCATTCGTGAAATGAGAAACTCGGTTTGAGATAAAAATGTATATAGTCACGCAGAAATTGTGCTAGCCAGTCCACCAGCTCAAGAGTCCAAGACCTGATTCACTCATAGAGCCCTGTAATACATCATCAATCAGAGTCCACTGAATGCAGGGGGAGCTCACGATGATGGTGTAAGGCGCTTGCTGTGGGCCAATGTCAGTGGTGGCAGTCAGAGCTGCTCCGGTACTTGAGCCAGGGGCACCTCCTGCTCCTTCACCTCTCCCCTCTTCCCCTGAGTGAGGCTGAACTGTGGACAACACACAACGTTATCTTGCATCATGTTCGTGTCCCTCCTTTCCTTCTCCGTGCGTGATTTGACTATATGGAATGAGCAAGTTTGCCTTTCTTGCGGGCACATAAGTGTAAGAATGTCAAATAAACGTAGTCCAAAGTGAATATTGCCATAATCCACAAAAAGTGAACGTTGTTTTGGAGGCTCCACTGTTGGAGCCCCTTATTCTACCAGAGATGTTCATAAAATTATGATGATGTCTGACCGTCTTTGGGGATGGTGTCCACGAAGGTCTCCTGGACAACTCTGAACCGCACCTCCTCCTCCAGGTCCATGAACATGTCGTGGGGCTCACCCTCTGACTCGTACTGCCACACCCACAACTGCTCTTCCTGGTCACTATATTATAGGTGACTCGTCAAGGAACCAGTGAACAAAGCGAGCCAAGTTATACTCTATGTGTAAACATCACAGTTGACTCTACCACACTGACAATGCACATGTGTAAACATCACATATGGCAGTCTCAAAGTTCCGCTGTATGGATTTGTTTGCATTCGCTTGCCAGAATTAACATTTGGTCATGGTTAGATTACTTTTTTACACCCAAACGTTGGTCATTTGAAAGGTTATTTTATTCTAACTTGTTTCTTTATTACTCACATTACGTACATGCAAAAATCTAGTAAAGGTTATTTGAGAGGCTATTGATTTCTAACTTATCTCTTACGTTACGTACATTACGTACATGCTGCAGTTATGCTGGAAAGAAAGGTGAAAGACTATAGGACTATATATCTTTGAGTCGGATACAATCTCTTGGGGTGTTGCAAGCTCTGATGAGGAATAAATACATCGTCAAAAAACCCCAGTGAAACTGGCGTCAGAGAGAGAGAAGACTCACACACTACATTACAATGTCAGGCCAACCTCGCACTCCTTCGGAACTGCAGCTCCTTATCTTCCCCACCAGAATCTCGTCCACAAACGGTCGGAATACAACCACACGGAATCGAACTGAAATAAAACCACCACTAGCATCAAAACTATTGTATTGAAAACCTTAAGTAAGGTATAGAATACACACATTGGGGACATCAAATATTCAGAGGTAATGTAATGCACTAATGTCTCAGTGTCCTCTATAGAGAGGTGTCAGATGCATCTTTTTGGGGAGGTTTTACTATATACACCACACAGATATCCACATCTCCCTGGGGTGGAGGGGGTGTGCCACCTTTGGTGTGTGATGCACCATCTCCAGGCAGGATGTACGAGTCCCCCACGCGAGTTATGTCGTACAGTGCAATGCAGAGGCCCACGCTGTGCAGCACCTGAGACAACATACAGTGAGAGACACACACACAGTGAGGGTTTATTAAGAGGGTGGGCTACTTTGTTGGCAAATTTTCTGTTGAGCTCGTCCCTGACTTCTCGTTTCATGTCTTTTCCGAACCTTCGAGGCTCGACTCGAATGATGTACTCCAATTCTGCCAGCACAAACATTTTCTCTTCCCCTCTGGCAGTGGCCTCATGCACCTCGCAGGCTGGAACGCGAACGGGGACGAACCGGACGTGGGCTCAAAGAGTGCGCATGCGTGGGAGAAGTCGGGGGTACACGCCTCCTAATCTTCGCAGCAAACCGCAGCTCTGCACTGTTCTGCTAGCAATTATACTCGTCAGCTCTCGTCTCCGTCGTCGTACAGTCTGGGTCGAGCTGCGAGTAGCCGCTCTAGCGGTCGCCACAGTGTCTAATTAGCCAGTGAAGGTCTTGGATCCTGTCGCTGAGCTGTGCGGAACAAAATGTGGGACTCTGTTTCGGACAGTCTCGACGATTTCTGCAGACCCGTTTCCGACTTCTGGGTACGCCTTTTTCTAGCAAAATATATATCGATAGAAGCCAAGACTTATGTTCTCCACACTGAAACCATAGGATTATTGCTACATCATAGCGTATTGCAGAAAGAAACTACTACTTCGGCCCTGTTCCAATGTTTTTGCACTGCATCTCCCACGCGCACACCACACACGCAGAAAGAAGAGGCGGGAAGTGGTAGTGGCAGCCACCATGGCTCGGGATCGGGCAGTGGGTCTTCCTCCTCGTCGGCCAACCTCCACGACGAGGTGGACTTCTCCCAGTGTTTCGAGGACACGGCGATCCTCTACGGAGTGTGTCTGGTGGCCTGGGTTCTGGGTGGCCTCACCTTCCTTTGCGCCCCTTACCACAGGAAGAGCCTGCGCATCAGCTCCCTACACCTTGCAAAACTTGTGAGCACACAACAGTACCTACATACATTATTACATTTTGATGGTTTATTTTGCTGAATGTTACATGTGTATAAAAGTGTTGCCAAAACATACTGCCTTCGAGCCAGGCTTTTGTAACCCCACCTCTCTCTCTCTCTCTCTCTCTCTCTCTCTTACAGGGGTTGATGCTGGTAGTGCTGGTATCTGCATTCTGTGATCTGTTCTACACAGTTTATCAGCAGTCAGTGCGGCAAGTAGCCGAATACCAATACGTGACACCGATAGTCCTCTCTCTCACAATGGTACCTGCATACTGTACATGTATGTGCAATGCAGCAAAGATAACAGAGAGATGTTGTCTATGTAGACTCGTGCAATAATTGTATTCGTTACTTGCCGCATGCATGCTGTCGTGATTACAGATTCAGACAGTAAGAATATGAGCCTATGTATTCTTCACAGACAGTTGTACAAGGTGTGTAGTCCATTGTTGGCCATTCAGGCATCAGACTCAGCCTACGCATATCTGTAGAGGCCTATGTTTGTAGTGCATCCATGTGCCTATCATGTAGTGCATCCATGTGCATGGATCTATCTGTCTGTCTGGGAGAGATGTAGGGCTGGCCCATTATGTTTCAATTTTAGACTTTATAGTTTTGCTATATATAACGGATAAGCATTCAGTTATACACTTTTTTCTTTTTAAATACATGATCTTGATCATCTTGATCCTGATTCATTGCCCATTGGATTTCCCGTTACCATTTTTTTCAACCTTAGATTTTGATTTTTGCCTAAAACAACCATGGATAAAATGAAATGGTGCAAAACATAGTTTTCTTTTTAATGCATGCCAGTATTATGTAAGAGCCTCTCTTTGGATTGCCAATTACCATTTTTGGTACACAAATTGCCCTATGTCTATTCTGCTTTTGTAAAAACTAGCGCCACAAAACTACCACTCTTCGTGTTGAGTTTGTGCGTAATGTTGACTATAGTGGTGAGGATTATGGTTTTATTGACTGTCAGCACACATGCATGAACACCGAGCAAGAGAGCATGTCTAGTCTATATACCTGCAGGGTCTGATGATAGGAGTAGTGACGACTCACAGGGTCAGTGGAATCAAATCATCTGGACTCCCATTTGTCTTCTGGCTGGTCATGATGTTCTATGCAGCACTCAAGATGAGAACACTTGTTCTGGTGGCTGAAGATAAAGTATGGCTGTATCATAATTATATATAGTGTCTTGTGTGTACTGTATATACATTTACAGAGAATACTGGTGTTAGTACCACCTCTGCATAGTTTCACCTGCATAGTTTCACTGCACTTCTTAGCATGCGCACAGAATGTAGTTGGACACGACACCCGCGCTAACCCTCAGCGAACTGCGTATGCGCGGTATAAGACTTGTGGGAATACACTTTTGTGTATATTAGCAAAGCTCTAGCACACTTAAATGTTTGGTGCATGCAGAAAAACACTTAATGTCTCTCTACAATTTAGTAGATAACACCACTATAAAAGCAATTTAGGGATTCTACACTATTTTATCACACCATGTGTTGTATATACGTACGTATGTGCAGGGCTCCGTCAAAGACGTGTTTCGGTTCACCACGTTCTGTGTCCAGTTTGCCAGCTACGTGGGGCTGTTTGTACTGACCCTGCTCCCGGAGCATCACTCCAGGAGACACTCTTACACTCTGCTTCACGACGGAATTGATCAGGTAGAGAGAAACTGCAAGTACGAACCCTTCGACAGGGTTGCCTTGGTAGGTAGGCTGTGATAATCTGCTAATATAACAGAGCTCTTCTTTTCCTGAACAGCGAAAGCCGTGTCCAGAACTGGAGGCGACGTTTCTCTCCCGGATCACCTGGTGGTGGCTCAACGGGTACATAATACACCAGCACTATCTACAGTACATAGCCACGTGGTCTCGGTCTCTGTAGGAGAGTAACACAAGTATATTAGATGACACATGGTTAGCCTTAGGTGGAATGCCTCTTTTATGTACATGTGGGATCTAAGGAACCACAATCCTCATGTGGCTTCTCAGTCACCAGTTTACTCCAAGGGCACTAGTGTGTACTGTTCACTGAACTTTGTATGTACATGCATTAGGCTCAGTGCCCTTGGAGTAAGCAGCGGTTGTGGATCCCCATTACATTGAATCGGTATTAGGATCCAAGCCGATTATATCCTCCGAGACCTTCACTATTAACCCCTCCCTGTTTTAACTCCACCGTAAAGCCTCATCTGGGACGGGTGGCGGAAGCCTCTGCTGTACTCTGACCTCACTGACCTGAACGAGGAGGACAAGGCCAAGAGGCTGGGCCCTAGGTTCCAGAGGAACTGGGACAAGGAGCTCAAGAAATCCGAGTCAGTATGATCTGCACTTTAATAATGCAGGTGTAATAGTGTTTATGGCTTGTATGTGAGTGCAGTCCTGGTGGCGCTAGATATTGGGAATTAGTGAAGGAGTGAAGAAAGGCCACTTAGTCATTTTAATACTGTGATTTTTAGTGTCTCTGTCACATTTGACAATGCATATGTGTGAAAATCACACCATATGTGGACCTGCTGGTGTTTGTATATTACATTCAGAATCTCTTCCTCCTCCTGCAGTGTCAAGTTTACCCGTGTTCCAGTCAAACCGATGGAGTACCAGCCGGTCAATGTGGAGATTCTACCTACTAGTGGTGAGCCGGGGCTCGCCCCTGAGCCAGCCCAGGGCCACGGAGGCAGAGGACCGTCCCTGGTGTTGGCTCTGGCCAGGTCTTTTGGGGGAACCTTCTTCATCGCTGGGTTCTTCAAACTCGGTCAAGACCTGCTCGGGTTTGCCAGCCCACAGATACTCAAGTGAGACTCCATCGATTCAGTGTATGCGTACGTCGCTAATAGATTATGGTAATCTCTATCCCGTTTTTGTATTACAGTGTGCCAGTAGTACAATTCTCATTTGTATACTTTACAATTCTCATTTGTATACTTTTTTTTAATAGTTCATACTGATTGAACTCACAATGCCCAGCTCCGCCCTCTCTCTCTGTGTGTATTGGTCTTTACTATAGCATTTCTGCTTTCGTTTTACTGCATGTGCACCTCCCCCCTCCTCCATATCTATCTATCTCTTTCCAACTTCAACAGACTGATGATCAGATTCACAGAGGACCCCTCGGAGTCGGACTGGAGAGGCTATCTGTATGCAGTGCTCCTGTTTGTGACTGCAGTGGTCCAGTCCCTCCTCCTCCATCAGTACTTCCACCGCTGTTTCCTGGTCGGGATGAGGGTCAGGACTGCAGTCATCTCTGCCATCTACAACAAGGTATATCTCCTTACTAACAGAGGTTCGGCACTATGTAAGTCTTACTAGGACACTTTAGTGCTTTTTCATTGAGAGGTGTTTCTATTGTGTCGTTTGTGTGGAGTGTCCTTTACCAGAGGTTCTACGTACCCTCACCCTCCCTGTCAGGCTCTGCGACTCAGCAACAGTGCCCGCAGAGAGCGGACGGTAGGAGAGATAGTCAACCTCATGTCGGTCGACGCCCAACGCTTCATGGACCTCATGAGCTACCTCCACATGATCTGGTCGGCCCCTCTCCAAATAGTGCTCGCCCTCATCTTCCTCTACATCACCATGGGCTTCTCCATCTTTGCTGGGTTTGCTGTGATGGTCCTACTCATCCCTATCAATGCTGTCATTGCTGCCAAGAGCCGCACACTTCAGGTCTGGCTCTCTCGTTAACCCCTACCTACCCCTCTCATTGTCCCCATATTAAACCCTGTAATAAAGTGTAATCAAAAATCGACTTTTTAGGTTAGACGGTTTGAATCCCAATGGGAATTTTGTTGGTAGTGTATATACATATGTAGCTTTTAGATGAGACTGTATAAGCAGTGTGCTTGTGGTTTTACTGGCCACATACAGCATCTCCGATGGCCTTGTCTTCTTGTCTGTTGTGCAGGTGAAGCAGATGATCCTAAAGGATTCCAGGATAAAACTGGTGAACGAAGTGTTGAATGGAATGAAGGTATGTATGATTTTAAAAATGTGTAATTATATGTTGAATTTCAGAGCCAGTATAAAAAGCGATCCGCAAGATTTTGTGTTAAATGCTCTATGGCATATACTAATATGCAGTATCGTAGTCAACAAAGTCAATTCCTCTGTTAAATTCTGGTTGGCCACTAAACTGCTAAGAGTTCTCTCTCTTGAAGCTTTCCCACTATCACACTATACTGTAGTTGTCACTGTCTCATCCCCTATTCCTTCCTAACTTCTCCTGTGGTCTGTGGTCTGTCAGGTCATCAAGCTGTATGCCTGGGAGATTCCGTTCAAGCAGCAGATCATGGGGATACGACAGGGAGAGCTGAATGTCCTCAGGTCCACTGCCTTCCTCAACGCCGGCTCCTCTTTCACCTGGACCTGTGCCCCTTTCCTGGTGGGTGTGTTGTTATCACACGTGCAGATAGAGGCAATGTGGAGGTATATACATGTCTCAACAACTTGGTAGCGAGGTAGAAAGGCAAGGCAAGGCAAACAAGTCAACTACACCCAGGACAGCTCTTTCTTTCAAAGAAAAGAAGAAGAGTTGCCTTAGGTGGGATTCGAACCCAGTCTAGGCGAGCGCTCTACCAACTGAGCTACCGGGGCAACTCAGCTGGTAGGAGTTCGAATCTACAACACAACACAAGGCAAACCTCAAACAACTGTGCTATGGCACAGTACACTCTCACTCAGTATGGGCTAAATTCAGAAACTGCTACTAAGAACTGGAATTAAGTTCCAACATTTATAAACTTATGTACTGTCACATTCAGACTAAGGTTGTATAATGCTCCACGTATGTAAGTGATGTCAGTTTTGCTGCCCAGGCTTTCCTGCTTGGCCAAAACCACGTTTGTACCGTTTGGTGTGCTAAAGTGTGGGGAAACCTAGTACATAGCGTTTTAGAGTGATTTATTCTGTGCTATCGCAGGTTGCTCTGGCTACCTTTGCCACATTTGTACTGGTGAACAAGGACTCCAGCAACCCCAATGACAGACTGACTGCTGACAAGGCATTTGTGGCTCTCTCTCTCTTCAACATCCTCCGGTTCCCACTCTCCATGCTCCCCATGCTCATCTCCTTCATGGTTGAGGTCTGAAACCAACATAATGATTTCGTAGTAGGCTTGCTTGACTCATCCGTCAAGATTGACTATCGTAGTATATAGGCTTGCTTGGCTGTACACTCATCCGTCAAGATTGACTATTACTTATGTTCTTGGCACGCACTTACAATGTCAATGAGAAATCTCAAGGCCTGTATAGATACATGAAATTATAGTTCATAGCATACCAGCCATAGGTATATAGATAGATAGACATGTACACGTACGTACCGTGGCTCACCTTGTTGCATGAGACAAGAGTTGAAGAATGTGAGTCAACAACGAGATCAAAGCAAAGCAAAGGCAAACAAATCAACTACACCCAGGACAACTCTTTTTTTTTTCAAAGAAAAAGGGAAGAGCTGTCCTGGCCAAAAGGTATATACAGTATGAGGATGATAGTCTGTAACCATCCGTTGTTCGGTGTTTTTCAGTCGAGTGTGTCAGTCAAACGTCTGAGAGAGTTTCTGAAGGGAAATGAGATTGACCCGAATAATGTGGAGAGATCTGAAGAACCAGCTACAGGTATGTATGTATAATAATTATTATGTGTGTATGTATGTATGTATGTATGTATGTATGTATGTATGTATGTATGTATCAACAGCGTATGAACCTATAAAGCCACAAAGGCTTGAAGATGAAACTCCTGTCAACACAGTGGTCTAGTTTAGTGCATAGCTGATTCGAATCGACCAATCAGATTTGTTAGTACGAGGTTCCTGATTTCTCATATGAACCTCGTGAGCTAACAAAAGTAACATGAAAACATGATATGAAACCTTGTTTTTCTGTTGATTTTCAACAAGTTCAACAGCATTTCATGTAGGAAATGTATCCCGCAAAACATGATCTGTACAAAATGTTGATCAAAATAACTGATATCTTGATTTTATTTTTCCACAAGACAGTTTTCTGTGTCTGCTTTGAGCCCATCTCCTTCCTTGCCATGTACATATAGATAGCCAGGCAGCTCACGCCCGCCCACAAACCACCGCGCCGCACGCAAATAAGGGGGTGGGGCACCGCGAGCGAGTGCGCGCGACAAAGCTACTAAGTCTACGGCGAACGCCTTCGGTGTAGCAGCCCGCACAGCGCCTGAATTCTCCACTCTCGCCTCTCTCTGATTGCGATGGTTCGTGCAGGTCTCCTGTCGCGTTTCTTCGGATGAGTGGTGGAGGACAGCCCGCAGCGGGAGTAGCTAGAGCGGCGGAGCAGCGTATCCTAGCGTTCGGCGTTCAATAGTCCAGCACAGGATGACGGTCTTGCGCTCTCGTCTCTTTCTCGCATCTTTCTGCTTGGAAACGCGGCTGTGCGCGTATACGGAGCTGATTTGCTCTGCACTAAACATGTTATGTACTCCGTATACTCGGGACATACCGGATTTCAATGAATCCTCATCCCTCCGCGTAGTGCCCTCGCTGCGCTCGGGACACTACAAACGCGGAGGCCCTCGGGTTCATTGAAATCCGGTATGTCCCTCGCACGTAGTACATAACATATATGTATTGCTCATTCTCGCGATTCTCTCTCAGAGGGAGAGAATGTGATAGCAGTGAGCAGTGGAGAGTTCACGTGGGACACTGGAGACAAGTCCACTCTAGAGGAGTGAGTATTTTAATTTATTTTTAATTACTTACATGCCAATCATTCCAATTTTGTGGGTGTGAATTTATTCCCTCACTTTCCTTCTCCCTTTGCCTCCCTCCCTCTTTTCTCTACTCTTTTGTCCCGCCTCCTTTCTCCCCTTCCCTCCCCTCCCCTCCTCCCAATCCTCTTTTCCTCGTGGTCCCAGTATCAATATCCAAGTGAAGCGGGGTCAGTTGGTGGGGGTGGTGGGTCTGGTGGGAGCTGGCAAGTCCTCACTCATCCAGGCCATACTGGGTGAGATGGAGAAAGTGGGCGGCACTGTTGAAGTTAAGGTAAGTAGATCTTCTATACTGCTATCGTGCCGTGTCAGTTACACCAGCCATCAACATACGTATGCACGGGCAGTTCCAAGCTAACCACTTTAATCACAGCTCTGACTTGTGAAGCGAAACTACAACCCGTGGACCATTACCCATGAACACATCCTGATACGCAACTAAACACCTATGTATGGTGTATATAGCAGTAGCAACTATAGACTATGGGTTTTGCATGCCACTGAACGTACTATGTGCCTGTCTGTTGTGGACACCTGTGCACATGTTTGTGTGCTAATGTAATGTGTCCTTTAGTCCTTGATGATTTTAAAACCAAAAATGGAATAGGTATATACCCGTGAACATGCACATCCACAAATTTACTTTCCTGTTTCCCTTGCTTTGCTCTATGGCACATCCCTGTTTCAATCCCTCTGGTTGTTGTCTCCCTTAGGGTCGGGTGGCCTACGTACCTCAGCAGGCGTGGATCCAGAATGCCACAGTCAGGGAGAACATTGAGTTTGGACAGGCCCACAACGAGGCCTTCTACAAGAGGACGCTCGAGGACTGTGCCTTGGAGCAGGACCTGGAGATTCTGCCCGGGGGAGACATGACCGAGATCGGAGAGAAGGTCTCGACGTAGTGTAATGCACGAGCAAAGATTACTTGGATGGACCTACGTACGTACGGGACCATATGGAAAAGTCTAGTTGTGTGAACCAAACATGACGCGTGGCGTAGGTATAGGTACACTAGGATAAGTAAACTGCTACGTAAGCATGCATCTACAACATTTGATGTTGATAAAGGCAGTGAAAGAGAGGGATGGTAAAGGGAGATAGTGTATATACATTACTATTCCGTACTCCAACTGTAGTTGAAGTATTAAGGATAGTTGGTTTGTCTCTTCTTCCACTTGTGTGCCTACAAAAAATGTTGACACAGTTAGTGGGGGGAGGGGAGGGGTGGGGGATAGGTGTAAAGGAAATGAAAAAGAGGGACGATGAAGGGAGATAGTATTCCGTACTACAACTGTAGTTGAAGTATTAAGAATAGTTTATTTGTCTCTTCTGTCACTTATGTGCCTACAAAAGTTAGAGTGGGGGGAGGGGGTGGGGTAGGTGTAAACTGTGTAACCAAACACACGTGTACACGTGTCAGGGGATCAACCTGAGCGGAGGTCAGAAGCAGAGGGTGAGTCTGGCGAGAGCAGTCTACCAGGAGGCAGACGTCTACCTCCTGGACGACCCCCTCAGTGCCGTCGACTCCCACGTCGGGGAAACACATCTTTGAGAAGGTCATCGGACCCGAGGGAGTCCTCCATGGAAAGGTACACACATAGATTCATACACATTACTGTCAAAATATGATAAATGCATACACACACGTAAGTACTACATACACATTACTACACATTATGAATATGTTCGTGCAGCAACGTGTTAAGAAGCACGTGTTAGTTTAATAAAGTGATGTGGTAAGATTCGGTATTTTTCAAGCAAACAGTTTCGTATGTACATATGCCTTATTAGGCTTATGGTGCGTTGATCAATTCTTGGTATCCATCACGTCGCCGGTTACACAGTCGTTTCACGGCCCTCACCGGCCAACCCAGGTCAATACGATACCCAAAGAGCCAAGCAACGTGCCGTATCAGTAGATACACCCCCCACAGGAGAATGAGAATGTGGGAGATGAAAGGTGGCACGATAAACGTCAACTCGAGCGAGTTTGTTCCTGTATTGAGATCGTGCCTCCACAGACCACCTGCAATACTGAAAATTCCAAGCAGCATTGAGTGGTAACTGAGCGAAAAGTTTGCGACGGTGCGGTGGCAGGGTCGCACGTAGGAAATGGCAAACGAGAGGAAGATGAATGCTGCTCCTGTAATAAACTGAGAGCCAAGGCTTTCGCGGATTGTCAAGTCTCCCATGGGACGTATGAGGCTGGTTAGCAACAGCACCAGTCCCGCAGTTGCTCGAAAGTCCCGACTCTGATCGGAGCCGTCCTTGTAACACTTGTTGTGGGCTCTGACAAATACCGTGATGGCCGTTTGGACTTTGGTGCTCAGGACCCGCGTTGCCTTCCTGTACATTCTTGTAGGGTACACGCAGAGTAGCAGGGATGGGGCGAGCAGAAACACAATCAAAAATGCAGTTGAAATGAACGCATAGAGGGTGTGTGTGTGGTGGGTGCTCAAGTGTGTGACTGTGGTATGAACGGAGCCATCAATGTTGTTGTACACGGGGACTCTATCGAAGAGAGAGTACAAGTTGTAGGCCAAAGTAGGAGCAGAGAGCAAGAGGAGGGATGAAAATGCGTGCAGGGCGATATTGCTAGTCACTGGCGTAACCCAAAGCTTATCGAAAATGAAACCAAACGGTTTCCAAAGAATGCGTAGGACTCTGCATTCGGCGGCATACAGTCGCATGAGACAGTAGGTAATGATGACGAGAACAATTGAGAACGTTGGCTTCACTAAACCGATCATCTGGAGATCGATTTCCGTGAGAGTGTCACTGAAACAGTATGCGGGGATGACAGACCATAGGAACTGGAGATTCCATACTTCAGCTAGTGCTACTGAGCACTGAAGTAGAACTCGGTACGATGAAGAGCTGTTGTCGAGGATGTAGTTGAAACTGTCGAGGTTTGCTTGTATCGTGAGCACAAAAGCTTGGCAGAAGAGAACGTACCCTAGTAAGGGACCAGACGTGATGTTTAGACTAAACACAACAAGTATAACAAAGAAAACTGTGACCGGGACGAGTTCAAGCACTAAGTACAAAGCGATGTAACCCCGGTTGCATTTGGCACACTTCATATCGCGAGCGTAAACTGCAGGTCCATGTCCGCCAATGCATTCTCCGCAGAGCAAACCTTTTCTGTTGTAAGGTCCACACATCACATCATCTAACATGTCAGGATCACTGGGCAACTCAGAGAATATTCTGTTCTCGCTGTTTTGCCTGTGCGTGAAAGGACAGTATCCGGCGTAGTACAGACCGTCTTTGACCGACATGGTTGCACAAAATCCATTGGCAATCCAAACTGACGTGTTCCCGTTGCGAATGAGCTTGTCCTCAAACGTTTTTCCACACTCGCACTGCTCGGTGGCATTGTCGTAGAAGAACCATGTTGGGCAGGTGAAGTTGCGGGCACAAACCAAGACACTTGTACTGGCACATGCGTAGAGTACTATAACCCAGGACCAGTGCGCCATAGAGATGGACATGGCATTCCCTACTTCATCTAGCAACTGAACTGCCTATACTGGATGACTTGGCTATACACAGTTCAGAGTACGTGTGTGCAGGTGTGTTTTAGAGTGACCTGAATGAAAGCTACACTTTCATAGTTTGTGTTGGCATGGAGGAAGGATGGTGGCTGAAGCTCCTGCTAAACAAACTCTAAATGAAACGTCTTAGCTCACAACTTGTAAACATCCTCTTACACCCAACTTATGCATGAAAAGTGT